TACCCCATGTTTCCGGCCGCCTCATCTGTCTCTTGAACACTGATTCGGATTCCGCTTTGCTATTTTTTCCGGAGGTACTGTTCGATTCTTCCCTACTTTGCTTGATGCCATGTGTTTTCGCCAATGACGCTTCGAATCTTCCTAGGAAAATTTCCCAGATCAACACCTGTTTAGAAGGGATTGCCCATTTGTTCAAAAATTAATTGACCCAAAACATAATCCAATTCGAACCCAGTTTTAAACTCCCTTTGAAACCACTCTGAAACCACTTTCTGTCCTGTGGCACACAGTGCTCGTCAATGCAGGCCTTGAGATCATCATACTTGAGGAAGCTGCAAGATGAAAACCTGAGGAGCAGGATCAGAAACGCTCTCAAGTAGGATTTCATTAGCCAAGGACTGTATCCACACTGAGCGATTCTTAAGGTAGGAGCACAATAAGAACAATGCAAAGCGCTAACCAACCTTCCCTATTTTCCACAATACCAAGGAACTGCACAAGGCCAGTAACCAAGCTGGCGCCACTCTCAATGACTGGAACCCAGGCGCAGCTTTCGATTTTGATCGAATAGGATCTGATCTCCAGCCGCTTCTTGTGGTCCCAAATTAATGCAGCCCATTGGGGACGGATACAAAGCGCGGATGTGTGGATCATCGTATGGCTTGTGCCTATAAAATCCTGCAATTGTCGAGACATGTCCCTTGTTGCAAAGGCCCCATCCTAGCAACTGATAAGTATATATTTATACAACCCCGGATATCCAAGGGAGGACAGGCCACCTTCAATAGCAATTCTCCTGACGCAGCAAACTACTCTTTAAAACCCAATACATATACTCCTCTCATACAGGTATGTACGTACCCCTCTCATAGAAACACACATATATATATGTGTATATCTCTCTCTCTCTCTCTCTCTCTCTCCCAACTCCCTAATTGTATATACCCCTCTCAGAACTCTCATGGATGAGGTCCAAGCTGCCATGGAAATCCAAGGGACAATTTCCTTTTTCCAGGTCTGTTTTCAAAAAAAGCCTTTCACCCAATCGTGTTGCAAACAAATAGACTTACTTAACACAATGCACCACTTTACGAATGTGTATCTAACTTCTATCTATGCCATACGTGGGATCATCTCGCACACTTATTCTCCACATTTATAAATGAGAATCTAAAATAGGGATATATGATATGTATGTATGTAATGTTTCTGGCAACGGCTCCTGTATACATACAACACCTGTATACCGAAAAAAAAACTAACCTACATACCTGCTTTCCAAACGTGTCCCTTCTGGGGGTCTGAAACTGGTCTGAAACTGGTCTGAAACCTCATCTGAGGCTTCAATTGTGTCCAGTGGGAAGGGGAGAGCCAACCATACAGAAGACTGTTTGTTTGACATAAACTTACTTACATATAGCCGTCCATTGTATTCGGGCACACACGGGATGTATTCGGTAATCTAGGCATCGTAATTAAATGTGTGGAATTACGGCTCCACGTCAACCGCATTACACATGCCTACGTACCAAGCCTTACATAGATACATCCATAAACACAAACATATAGATCCATACATGCATGCATACATACCTACGTACCTACGTACCTACATGCCTACATACCAAATCTGACCCTTCTGGGGGTCTGAAACTGTGAATTTTGCCCTGGATATCCGAGGGTCATACAAAAAATATTATGTGAATCATAGGAAAGGAGCTCCACATGCGTTTGAAAGCGCGCAAATGTTCCCACGCCTGCCCAGACGTCGCAATGTTCCTAGGGGTCCCCGCGGCCCGCCGACCGAAACAGCTGCGAGAAGCAGCTTTTGTTTCAGAAGTGTAAACATGTATATGGATAAATAAATATTCATATACATATATATATAAATTAATATCTATGAACCAGGCAGTTACTTCTGCCCTCTAATATATTCATATATATTGATATATATAAATAAACATTCATATACATATATATATAAATTAATATCTATGAACCAGGCAGTTACTTCTGCCCTCTAATGGAAGCGATGGAAGCCACTTAGACCCAAAGTGCCAAACGGTCACTTACAAGATCAATCATGCATAAGAATAAGTGACCTCTTTGCTGCGTGTCACTTGCGTGTCACTAGTGTTTCCAGGTGGGATGAAATGAGGTCACTTAGGACGCTGAGAAAGTCACTTAAGCCTTGAAAAGGTCACTTAAGGATTGGCTGTCTGCGTGTCACCTGCGTGTCATTTGCGTGTCACTGGTGGGTCATTTTTTGGCTCGTTTCCTTTTCTGACCTCTTTCTACGTTTTCCTTAACTGCACTTAGCAGAAAACACAAACAAGGTCACAAGGAATCGTCTGGAATAGATATATATATATATTTATTAATATATGTATGTATGTCTCCTTATATATATATTTGTATGTATCTGTATATAAATAAATAAATGAACAAATAAAATTAAATAAATATATAACATATATATAATTACGCGGAAAAATCATAAAAAAGAACCGCAAGCTATCGAATCGGAACACAACTAGAACCGCAAGCTATCGAATCGAAATTCAAAAAAGAATCCAAATCAAAAATAGAATCGCAAGCTATCGAATTGAAATTAATCAAGAATCCCTTACTAACGAACTTACTCCCTGTAGGACTCGACACGTTACGAATCGAATCGGTATCGGAATCGCGATGAATGGAATTGAAAACCAATTCTCTCGAAATCAATTCCTTATATAAAAAATCGAATCGAAATCGCCAAAAACGAACCGGGACCACCCTGGTGTAGTGGAGTGTAGTTGTGTAGTTGTAGTTGTAGTTGTAGTTGTAGTTGTAGTGTAGTGGAGTGTAGTGTAGTGTAATGTAGTGTAGTGGCAGGTAGTGTAGTGTAGTGTAATGTAGTGTAGTGAAGTGTAGTGTAATTTAGTGTAGTGGAGTGTAGTGGAGTGTAGTGGAGTGTAGTGTAGTTGTGTAGTTGTAGTTGTAGTGTTGTGGAGTGTAGTGTAATGTAGTGTAGTGTAATGTAGTGGAGTGTAGTGTAGTGTAATGTAGTGTAATGTAGTGAAGCGAAGCGAAGCGACATCTGAACCTCCAAAAGTGGTCCGAACCCCTGGTGTCTTTAACATTTTGACTTCGAAATGTGCTTCGCGCCACAACGGCGTGCACTTTTTCCACATCGGAACTTCCAAAAGTGGCGCGAACATTTGGTGTTTTGTACATTTTGACTTGGACATGTGCTTCACGCCACAACAGCGCGCACTTTTTCGACATCACAACTTCCAAAAGTGGTCCGAGACCCAGGTGTTTTGTACCTTTTGACTTGGAAATGTGCTTCGCGCCACAACGGCGTGCACTTTTTCGACATCTGAACTTCCAAAAGCAGTCCGACACTGAGGTGTTTTGTGCATTTTCACTTCGAAATGTGCTTCGCGCCACAACGGCGTGCACTTTTTCCACATCGGAACTTCCAAAAGTGGCGCGAACATTTGGTGTTTTGTACATTTTGACTTGGACATGTGCTTCACGCCACAACAGCGCGCACTTTTTCGACATCACAACTTCCAAAAGTGGTCCGAGACCCAGGTGTTTTGCACCTTTTGACTTGGAAATGTGCTTCGCACCACAACGGCGTGCACTTTTTCGACATCTGAACTTCCAAAAGCAGTCCGACACTGAGGTGTTTTGTGCATTTTCACTTCGAAATGTGCTTCACGCCACAACGGCGTGCACTTTTTCGACATCGCAACTTCCAAAAGTGGTCCGAGACTCAGGTGTTTTGTACCTTTTCACTTCGAAATGTGCTTCGCGCCACAACGGCGTGCAATTTTTCATCTCTCATCTGGCCAGCTGGCTCCGCACCCGCCGCTTTAGCGAGCCTACTTTTCGACCCTCCGGAGCCACAAATCATTGGAAAAACACAGTGTTTCGCGACTTTCCTACCTTTTCGCGCATCTGCATCTTCTTTCTTCTTACTCTTTCTCTTCTACTCTTCTTTCTTCTAATCTTTCTCTTCTCTCTGCCTCTTCCCTGCTCTGCTTTTCATCTGTCCATATTGTCGGAAGTTTGACTTCTAAACTTCCTTCGATAAAGGTGTAAATATCTGTTTCAAGGTTATTTCAGCCACTGGCCTCTATCTCTGTTCTACAGCAAAAGTTTGGGATTTTTTTTATGTATTTTTTAGGCCTCTACGTAAGGGATCTGGGAAATTTATATGTAAAAAAAACCTCCACGTAAGAGATTTGGGAAATTTTTATGTAAAAAAAAACCTCCAGGTAAGAGATCTAGGTAAAAAAAACATCCACCTAAGAGATCTGGGAAATTTTTATGTAAAAAAACCTCCACGTTTAGGGTTTAGGGTTTAGGTGTTTAAAGGCGCTTGAACTCCCATTGCATCTATGCGTCTCGCACCTGACTCTTCCTTTTTCCAACTGATCATCCATATTGTATCACATTTTTGCAGTTCCAATGTTCCAGTTTCTGTGCACTTGACTCTTCTGGTTGGCTGCAAATACGTTGTGCTGGAAGGGGCCCGGGCCAACTTTTAAAATTTTATATAATTGAGAAGCAACTATGTCTCATTGCCATGCCTGGTATTGACACAGTATAACAATGAGATAGGATGAGTATAAGAAGAATTCCAGTTGGAGTTTTGATCTTTCCCTCTCAGCATGCTGCACGCAGCAAGCTGCACACCAAAATGCCCAGAAAAAGGGTGATCCGTTGCGATCCTCCTGGGTCTCTTGACATCCCTTGACCTTCCTGACTTCGAATCCGAAACAGCAAATTCTGATGGTGGCTCAGCACATGTCAAAACCATTCAAAACCAAACAAAACACCGCCCAACACCAAAATATATTGAATGGGTGCCAGAGATTTGACTACCGATACCATACGTTGTTTGAATAGATTCGGCCAAACTCATATAGTACAGAGTACGAGTCTGAGTACTATGTATCCTGGGATGGACACAAATGTGATATATAAAATTATAAAGTAATCAATCAAGTTGATTGTGGATGATTATGGTTCATATTGGTCAATTCTTTTGCATTCAACCTTGCCAGATTTTCAGATCCTTTTCCAATGCCAAGTCTCTCCCGGCAGTCGAAGAAGCAACGGGCCAAGATCTAAAGCTGGACATTCAGCGGGTTCCCCTGACTCTTTCGGGGGAGTTGTGCGAATGCGGGAAACCACTTGCTCCACGTAGGCATCAACCTCGCTTGAAGATGTCAAACCGCCATCGCCCAAACTCATGGAACAATCTTTAACTCGTCTCAGGAACGGCTATGTGGTGACAAGACTTGGATATACAAGAGCTTAGGGCTACTCTTTGAACATATTTGAAAATTATGCTAATAACTGAAAAGCGGGGAACCAAACAACTTGACACCTTCATCAAAATCATGGTTAGCTAAACCAAACATCGCAGAAGTCGAAGTACGGATACCTAGATCAGGCATCCACGGACTATACTTGAAGCAAAATAATAGAAGTGACATCGGCACCTCCACTGGCTGCAAAAGAAAAGGGAGAAGGAGGGAACAGAAAAGAATACAGTCCTATTGTGTCTTATTTTCTTTATATTTTCTTTACACGTCATCAATTCCACAAGTTCCACAAGCACACAACATAATCATTATAGTGTTTAATGGCGTTTGGACTCTGATTAAACCCACCTAGACTGTTTTGACCCTTTCGGTTGTTTACCAATTATGATCGAAGTCACCTAGTTTTATTGAGATCGTCATCAGAAACTGAAACGCCTAAAAATCATGGACATGTGTTAATTTTGAGTGTTTCAACATATTCCCTCCCTCTCCCAGCGAATGTAACTAGCATTTTTTGAGGTTGCTAGAGTAGTGCATTGGAGTTGGGTATGCGGGTCTGACTCCGCCACTCCGCCTTCTTTTTCTGTTCAGAGCACCTTTGCGCAGAATTTGCAAAAAAAGAAAAAGAACACGACCAAAACGCCCTGCAAAAATCTTCAAAACGCCCACAAATCCACAAAAACAAGTTTTTGGTTTATTTCCAGGCATAGTAGTTTGTTTTGTATATAGTAGTTTTTGCGAAGCATCCAGGTAAAAACTACAGTGGCTGGAGTCAAAATTCGCACCAATGCAAACAAGCTGGAGTGGCCTGGATTTAAGGTGAAACCAATGGAAGGCTAAACGAACCGCCTCGTTTTTGCTGACGCTGCCTCAAACGGCCCCAGGAGGTTTGCTAATTTTTGCATCTTTGCCTTGTTACAGTTCATATTTTGCATGTTCTTTTTTTGTGGTTGTCTTGTCACATGTCATATTTCGATATATTTCGCATGTTCATTTGGATGGAGGGGTGGGGGGTGGGGGGGTGGTGGGGGGAGCTAATAACGCTTTGTCGCCTCTTCTTTTGGCAGGTGCTTTAAACTCTGTCAAACTTCTGTTTTACACGCTGTTGATGCTACGCCTCAACTCTTTTGTATTGTAATTATCTAAGATGTTGATGCTATGCCTCAAGTCTTTTGTCTTCTAATTATATATCTCAACACGCTTTGAACACTTTCATGTAACATCCAACACGCTCTTGGTGCTACGCTCTGAACACTTTCATGTAACATCTAACACTCTTTTGGTGCTACGCTCTGAGTCTGAACACTTTCATGTAACATCTAACACGCTCTTGGTGCTATACTCTGAACGCTTTCATGTAACATCTACCACGCTCTGAACACTTTCATGTAATATCTAACACTGTTACACGCTTTTGGTGCTATGCTCTGAACACTTTCAAGTAACATCTAACACGCTGTGAACACTTTCATGTAACATGCAACACGTTGGCAAAGACTTGCAAGTGAAAAACAACAAACGTACAGTTTTCTCAGCATATGGGAACCGAAAAAAACACATTTCCACCAATGTAAAATCATCAGAACGATTACGACGTCATGCAAATACCATCAAATACCAATCGAATCAAGTCTACACAAAATGCTCTGGAAACGAAACCCTGGCAGCAGGGTTGTTTTCAAACAGAGACTTGGCAGCGGACAAAAAAGTGGAAATCAGCGGGGTCATTGTGGGCGGCGTGCCCTAGTTTTTTAAAATGTTTTCATCAAATTTGTATGTTTGTTATGTGAAACGCCTGGTTTCAGAAGAACCGACCAAATAAACTACTACTGTACCGACACAAACGACGAACATAGTTTGGTAGTATGAAATTCAAGGTCATCTTAAAAGAAACAGTGTGTCATGATGTGTCATGATGTGTCATGGGTACTCAAGAGTCGCTGTGATACTACCACATGCATCCACATGCTATCTTGCAGGCATTCAATGATGAAAAAGGATGAAAAAGGATCCAAACACTATGTGAAACTCCAATATGTTCACATAATTTCACATACAAATATCGAACACATGCAAACTGTACTAATCTCTTCTTCATTTCCAATCCGTTCTTCTTTAAAGAGAGGTGAATAAAATTCCAGCCAAGCTGCAGTCTCCCAATCGCTGGGATGCACATATCCTTGGAATGGCCCAGGGCATGTCTCCGACTCTAATCATGACTTAGTTCTTAGAGCTGAGCAAAGTTTGACGGAGAAACTTTCGGTGTAGGTTTGGACAGAATCAGATACCAACCTCTTCCACCGGCTATGTCATTTAACCCACCCAGTCAAGATAGCCACTGGACCAAGAAACCACGGGTAATTAAATGCAGGAACTGCTGAGACTGCAGGATGGACTTATATGTAAACATGATTGTGTGGTTTGTTTCGAGCTGAATATGCAATATTTTTCAAGCAGAACATACATTCCTGGGCCCGGGGTCTAGAACCAACTGCGTGCAGAAGGACACATGTTTCAAGCAAAACTTGAGATGCAACATTGTCACTGTAGACATTTTAGCTGTCCAGCATGAAGCCGATATCTGGACAGGATCGTGGTCGGTAGCAACGAGATCATACCACACCACATGAGTTGCAACCCCCGCTGAAATTCCAAACCTGCCAAGCGGCGCTTCAAAGTCGGCATGCCGCGACTGATGCGAGGTAAACTAGTCTTTCGTTCAAACTTGAAATGGGCTTCGCGGATGTCCTTACATGCTGGGATCAGCAATTACCCATCTCCAGTCTCCATCTCAGCAAAGAGGACGGACTGCAGAGTGAGCAAATGATATGATTTCAGCGTTTGAAATGACCAAACAGAGGCATTCAGTTGGGCACGCCGCAATTTTTGTGCTTAGTAAGACAGTGACTATGAGTGGATCAATGAGTCTGACCCACGATGAGATTCCCAGAGTCTACACCCTGCGACTGGAACTGCCCTCAAAACCAGAATGGCTGAATTAACTCACAGTGCGGCACAATTGAGCAAGTGATCAAAAATGATCAAAATCCACTTCAAGTCTTTAGATTTCAGCCTCCCAGTTGCAAGCATTACTCTATCTGGCAAAGCTCATCCAGAAAGGCATCATCCTTTTGGTAGGGATCCAAAAATAAGTTCATCTCAATAAGCTCCTGGCGGAAAACATGGCTTTATTTCTTGTGGAGATGGATTTGCAGTGCATTTCCTCTGGTAGGGATTTCGCTATTTGGAAATGGAAACTTGCCACTGGATGCAACTCCCTGAAAAACAAGAAGACAGGCAGCTAGGCTTTTGTTGCAGAGAGCAAAACTCCTGAGGGTCCTTCAAGGTTTCTAAGTCTCCCTAAACCTACATCTTCGCCTAAAACCACGCAGCGAGGGCAGTTCCAGTCAACAAATTAGCTTATTGCTTTGGAAAGACTTGAAACAAGCAAGGTTGGAAGGTAGTAACCTTGACAGCAGGCATCTCACTTCTGGCGAAAACGGATGAACAGAGATGATCCGAATCCAATTCATTCTTACAGCACACACAGATCCATTGTCTTTCTTGGTACTCTGTGGGTGAGATTGGCACTCTTCTGGTAACCCCTGGTAGAATCTCCTGAAATGATTCCACTGCCTCTGCGCAGCTGGTCGCAGATCCACGTGCTGAAATGCCATCACCTGACACCAGGTCCGCAGCACATTGGATGTCTTCAAATACTGCAGACTACGCCGAGTTACTTTCCAAATGCTTCCAATTCTTTCAATGTGCAGTTCTGTACTACCAAGCATCCAACAAATCAAAAGCAGCAGTGTGGGGAGAAATTGTTGTCACATGGTGACCGATTTGTGCAACCATGCCTTCGACTGGAGCTGGAGCCCCTTTGTGTGTTAGAAGAGGAGGATCCTGCCACAAAGCATCGAGGCCTTATTGGCCTTCCAGCCTCCTGCTTGCTATCTTCGACTGCCCAGTTCGGGTCCACAGAATGGCAATCCAACAAGAGTTGGAGAGATTATACATGATAAAATAATATAAATATCTTTTGCCTTAACTGGAAAGTGCTACAAGGATTGGGGAATGATCAAAGAGCGCGAGGGTGCAGAATGAAGCGCCGGCTCAGAAGATCTTGGAAGACTGTGTTCTAGTTTGCCTGGTGGGATGTGTTTGGTTAAGGTTCTGAAGAAAGCTTCTGGAACTCTATGACTTCTTCGACGATTGTGCAAAGTTCTAAAGCATGACATATAATATAACATACGTATTAAAAGTTATTAAAAGATCATGTACAAAGAACACATTCAAAAAATGCCAAGCATGGCAGTGAAAGGCAAGAAAAAACGGCGAATAGTGACAGAATTTGAGACACGGACGCCACAAATTTCACATAGAAGTGCACCACCCAGTCTGGGGCATATACCCAATTCTGACGCAGGGAAAATCAGGGAACAGGCTGAAACGTGGTGAAATGGGGTGAAATGGTTCCCGGCATCAAGGAATATACCCGCCTGTGCCGGGGGTACTGCCTCAGGAAGTGGACTCGGCTGAACATCCTCTGCCAAAGCGATGATGTGGTGATGGTTCCCCTTAGTTCATCCAATGTTCATTTATACCGAACTGTGATGAACTTCGACCCAGATTTTGATCGGTGCTTTGGCTACGCAGCAACCACTGGGTAGCAAACTAAGCAGAGCAAAATCCAGAAGCTGGGCTTGTCCCAGCAAGGTATCCAATTGTTTAAGACTATTGCTACAAACTTGGCAGCCTTTCAACTTTAAAGATCTATGAAGAGATTCATTGAAGTGTCTTTAAGTCCCCTTATGATCCCTTATGATTCCTTATGATCCCTTATGTACCCTTTCTTGTGATTTCTTTTGGCAGTGAGACTTCGAGAGCTACACCAAAAAGAGACAAGAGCCGGAGGCAAAAACAACATAAACAACACTTGCAAGGTTAAACATGAAGATCGGCTGAAGATCGGGCAAGGTTCAGGAACGTGTAGATCGGGCATTGCCACATGAAACAGGTCCTCAGACCCGAGTCCATCACCACCAATGGTTCTGAAGTCGAATGATCCGAAATCATCCGAATTCATCATTTAATCTTTGCAGATATCAGAATCAGAATGTTCAACATGTTTTTCATGGTTACAAGAGAAGACTTTGCAAACGTTGAGATCCCTTCAGGGGACCCTCCTTCCTAGCTTGGAACTTGATGAATGAAAGTCGGTGGAGCCACTGGCATTGTTCTGTTGCAAATGCAGAGGATGTTTTGGAGGAAATCTCAGGAAAATTCAGGATTCATGGAGATCATGGAGATAAATAAATTAAATAATGACAAAATAATGGCAAATCATTGCTTGCAGAAACTCAACAGAGTGTTTGCTTCTCGCAGAAAATTGCTGTGACAAGCATCTACGGACACCTCGCTAACCTTGTGTCCTTTGAAAGCCACCCGCAGGCCTCAGGAACGGTCTTCGAGTATACAATACAAGACATCACAAGACTACAACGGACTGGCTATGACTAGCTGATCGGTATCCTCGAAGCAACTATTCTGATACTTGACGACAATTTTTCGCAGTCGCTGTGGGCTGAAACAAAATAGTAGTGACAATGCGGGTGAGATACTTGGAGAATCTAGCGTAATGATTGCCATTATCCAGCTCAGAGGTTTAAGTTGAGGCGGAAGAAACCCAGGTATGGTATCATATGAACCTGATCATGGTCTTCATAAAGTGACCCCAGCTTCACCCCGACTTGTGCATGGACTACATATTTAGAAGACATCCACCATAGTATTGAACCGATTTTTTGTCACCATTCAGCCCAATACCAAAAGCTAAGTTTAAATAAACAAATCAGGATCTAGCTTGATGCGTGCAAACATTTCAAATGCCAATCATACTAAAATAACAGATGCTAGAAGAATCTAAAAATATCTAAAATATATGCTAAAATGCATCCTTCGAAAACCTCAACTGAGCAGTCTGCCGTCCAAGTGGCAGCGTGGCGCTCCAGGATCTTCATCCCTTGACGAGTCGATGAAATCAATGAAGCGTTGCTTGCCTGCAGATCTTTTGCACATGTGTCACACAAAACGACATATATCATAATATATCTACATATCTATTAATATACATATATATATAATTTATATATATATACATCTTATATATATATATATCTATCATATCTATATATTTGAAATCGACTTGAATCCGGGAGGTCTCTTGCACAATGCTATCGGCTATCTGTCCAGAAAATCTTCAGCAAATGACCTGAGGGGAACACAACCCAATGGTCTGCAAGTGGCTCTCTTCCACCATCAAATCCATCAAAACAACCCCAGAGAATTCCTCAGTTCCAAGACTTGCACTGAATGGCAGAAATGTGGCATAAGAGCATAAAAAAAACTCGTCAGCCCATGTTGCCTCTGTAGTCAAACTTCCAGAACTTGAAATGGAAATTTGAAAAGTTGCTTAACACCACCCAGCTCAATGTTTCTCCGGCATGGGATGAATTTACTGAATTTACTGCGCAAGTCGCCAAACAGGTGATTCAAGAGATCCATTGTCGCACCCAAGATCGGATTTTAGGCTCTTTACATCGCAATGATCACATTGAACAACAAGAGGTTAACAGATTCAGGTTCAGCTCACATGGCCATGTACTTCAATAATGCCTAGCAGTCAGCAGCACTACATGCCACCATGATTCACGAGTTGTGCCAAGCATTCGTTGGAGGCACGCTGAGCTGCCACGAATGCAAAAGTTGGTATCTAGCAGCAAATCACCATCACCTAAACAGCTGCTTTGCCGGACTCACTGTCGGGGACTTCAGAAAGATTTCCTTGAAATTTATAAATATTGCCAACGTTCACAGTACAGTCTATGGCAGTGCGAAAGAAGCACAAAACACACCCAAAAACATCCAAAACATTCTTATTTTTACTGAGTGAGTCTGCACATATTCAAAACATTAGATCACAACTCAGTTCACTTCATAGCTTTCTGTTGCATATCTACAGTTTTCTAAGGTTAGCCGTGGATAGCTCTGCTTGACATTCACCAAAGGCCTTAGTAGTTGATTGCTTCAGTGATCAGGATAACTGCGTGGACTGTGGATTCTAAAATGTACGACAGCAATCAACCATATAAATTATGAAAATCAGTCTGCTTAATTTCTACTAAATCAAATCATATTATATCCATCTAAATCCTTACAACATGTTTCAACTCCCGCAAACCAATTCCACTGGTGAAGGCCCTCTCCACGTTAATCCTTGTTTGAAACTGCAAAAACTGCAATTGGTGTCTTCCATCAGAAAACTGTGAATTTTGATCTGAAACATAATTTGTGTGAAGAATTGTGAAGAGGCTATTGGGTCTTGGCTCCATTCCAATATCACGTGCAATCGTGATAATCCATCAATATCCATCAATAGCGAGATTGAAATATCCAAAGCTACCCTGGGCCGATGTTGATTGAAAATTTTGAAGCAGTCTCACTTTGTAACTTACATTGCTTATATTTGACTATCCAACTATGAAATATTATGAAATCAAATTTATATAGACAAGTTGTGACAAATTGTGACATTTCTGTTTAGTTTTTTGATAATTTTTTTCTAGCTCGTGCGTCGCCGTTAGCTCGCGATGTCTCCTCCTAGGCTCAGTGCGGCCTAGCGGCAGAGCCCTTTGATCATCCGACGAAAGCCAGAAACCATTCTGAGCCGAGGCCAAGGGCCCAAACATGGTGCGTCAAACTGAAAAAAACTGAAAAAATCAGAAAGGGTATGCGCATGGCGTGTCATGGCGGGCTGCGTTGTTTCACGGCGGCAAAGATTCAACAATAGGTAAAGGTGCTTCGGAATGGTGCGTGATTGTTCTTTGGTTTGCAATTTAAAGGCTGAGAACTGTTCGGTCGGGGCCTGGCAACGGTTCAATGCCATGTACCTTCAATTTTGATCTGGTTTTTATGGTTGCATATGCCTGCATATACCAGCAGTACCGCGCAAGGCGGTGGCGGAAGTTTCAAAAATAGGAAACCTATAGGAAGGGTTGGTTGTTGTGACTCACGGATGGCAGGGCGAACCCACTGATGGACCGAAAGGTGGTTGGAGTTGTGTTCACTAGAGTGGTTGCAATGGTTGCAGTGGTCACCTCACCACAACTGCTGGATATAGTGTGGTGTAGTGTAGCTGTAATTGTAGTTGTAGCTGTGGTGGTGGTAGTAGTGGTAGTAGTGGTAGAGTAGTGGTAGAGTAGTGGTAGAGTAGTGGTAGAGTAGTGGTAGAGTAGTGGTAGAGTAGTGGTAGAGTAGTGGTAGAGTAGTGGTAGAGTAGTGGTAGAGTAGTGGTAGTAGTGGTACTAGTGGTACTAGTGGTACTAGTGGTAGTAGTGGTGGTGGTGGTGGTGGTAGTAGTAGTAGTAGTAGTAGTAGTAGAGTAGAAGTAGAAGTAGAAGTAGAAGTAGAAGAAGAAGTAGTAGTAGTAGTAGTAGCAGTAGTAGTAGTAGTAGTTGCTGTTGTAGTAGTTGTAGTGTAATTAGTTTAGTGTAGTGTACTTAGATGTAATTGGTGTAGTGTAGTGTAATTAGTGTTGTGTAATGTAGCGTAACATATTTGTACTTGTAGTTGTAGTGTAGTGTGGTGGTACTTGTAGTTGTGGTTGTCTATCTATCTGTCTATCTGCAAGCTTGAGAACGAAGCTATTTTGCGACACTTCCTCAATTTTTGAATTTGACAACATCCAAAACGAAGCAATTCTGCGAGAATTTCTCATTTTTTGAACTTGACGACGTCAAAAACGAAGCAATTCTGCGAGACTTCCTCAATTAACCCCTCTTAGGAAATCAGCGCCCGGATGAACATGTCTCTTGTACTGCGCCTGCCACGGAAAATGTAACTTTGCAGATCCTCTTCAAATGTCCCACGACTGCCATCGTTTTTGGAAATGCTAGAAAACCCTCACGTTTTGCTCACTTTTGGCAAGGTGCACAATCCCTTGCGCCGGCCACGCGAAAGGACATCTGAATGTCCAAAAGTGCTCCGTAACTTTTGACTTGGAAATGTGCTTCGCGCCACAACGGCGTGCACTTTTTCGACATCTCAACTTCCAAAAGTGGTCCGGACCTGGTGTGTTTTGTGCAGTTTGACTTCCAAATGTGCTTCACGCCACAACAGCGCGCACTTTTTCGACATCACAACTTCCAAAAGTGGTTCGACACTGATGCGCTTTGTACATTTTGACTTGGAAATGTGCTTCGCGCCACAACGACGTGCACTTTTTCGACATCTCAACTTCCAAAAGTGGTCCGGACCTGGTGTGTTTTGTGCATTTTGACTTCCAAATGTGCTTCGCGCCACAACGGCGTGCAATTTTGCATCTCTCATCTGGCCAGGTGGCTCCGCACCCGCCGCTTTAGCGAGCCTACTTTTTGACCCTCCTGAGCCACAAATCATTGGAAAAAACCAATGTTTCGCGACTTTCCTACCTTTTCGCGCACCTGGATCTTCTTCCTTCTGAGACTTTCTCTTTTTTGATCTTCTTTCTTCTTCTCTTCTCTTCTCTGACTCTTCCCGTCTCTGCTTTTTCATCTGTCCATATTGTCGGAAGTTTGACTTCTAAACTTCCTTGGATTATGCATATTTATGATTATTTATGTATTTTTGCATACATAAAGAAAGCAGGACGCTGTGAGAGTGCACTTTTTCATTGTTTCTTCAAAACTGCAATCACTTGTTGCAGCTTAAACTACAAATCAAGATGTGTTCATGTCCACTAGAGAGTATGTTTTGCTTGAAGATGTGTCCAGGTGTTCGCTCCACCTTAGATAAATGCTACAGTGGCCCTTTAACTAAACACAATTTCTGCAGAATATGCTAGATGCTGCTAAATGTCTTCAACATGCAGTAATTACAAAACCCCATACCTGCCAACAAATGCAGTATGCAAAACAGACATTCAGCATGCATACCGTTCTTGATAAGTGTAATCTTCCTTTGGGGCAATATGAGCAATGCAGTGTGTTTGGAAGGAAAAATATCTCCACAAAATATGAAGCATTCCTGTAGAAGACACACCATGCCCTTTGAAGCAGTGCAGTGTGCATTCCCACATGTCTCCTTTCAAAGGAGCAGTATCCCTTTGAGAAAAGGCAATATGTTTGCGCAAAATCAATATTTTTGACATAGAGCATCCCTCTCAAAAGTTCAATATGATTGAACATGTGGGCATTATCAAAGAATGCTCTTCGCTTCTTACACCATTGTCCTGTATGGCAACACAATCTTCCTATGAAGAAACAGCATGCTCAGCATCCTTGGAAAACTGGATGACTTTCCCTTGACATATGTACTCTTCTCCTTGATCAGCCCAGCCTTCATTCACTCTGGTCTAAAGAGCAACCCTCACTCAAAGATTTTTTTCCAGTACTATCCAACAATAATGTATTCGTTTAATCAAATATCTCACTCATGTCAAGGGGATGTTGCACAAAATGAAGCAGCAGATTTTTCAAGGGCGACGATGCCCTTTCAAAAGAGTGCTGCATGCATACAATATACTATACTGTATATAATTCCCGAGTGCGTAGCGAAGGTTTCCGGTTTTGCTTTGGAGGCCTGGGGGTTGAGACGTGCTCGCTCCACGCTGCTTTTGTGTCCGCAACCGTTCGCGAGCAACTGTCGTGAGGGCAATATTGTCGTGCCTATGGCCAGGTCTGAAAAAGTGGTCACGCTTGGAGGTTCCAAACGTCGCGCAGCCTCGTTTCGCGCTGCAGGCGCGGCACTTTGTGACACATTCCAACATGTTTCATAACGTGTCCAAAGTCGTTTTGTGTGACAGGCGTAATACCTTTGCGTCGATGTCAGAAAATGAGTTGCATTTTTCGCTGCAGGCGCGGCACTTTGGAGACCTCCATCATCATTTTGCGTAGCACGCGCAGCACTTCAGACGTGTCCCACGTTGCGTGTTTTCTGCAAATCGCATTGTCAGGGCTGCGTCAAGTGGTGACAACGCGCTAATTCCGTGGCATGCGGGGCTCTGCCTTCAAAATTGACCTCGGAAATTGTCAAAAGGAGCTTTTTCTCGAACCCTTTCCTTTTTTATTTTTCGTTTTTCGTTTTGGCTATTTTTCGTCCTTTGCCTTCAAAATTGACCTCGGAAATTGTCAAAAGGAGCTTTTTCTCGAACCCTTTTCGTTTTTTTCTCGTTTTTTTTCATGTAGTTCTTTTTCTTTTTCGTGTTTTTCTCGTTTCCTTTTTCATTGTCGTTTTCAATTGTTTTTTTCTTTCCGTTTTTTAATCGTTTCCTTTTCATTTTCGATTTTTTTGTCCTTTTTCATGTTCGTTTTCATTTTCATTTTTTCAATTTCATTTTTCATTTTCATTTTTTGTTTCCTTTTTCATTTCATTTTTCATTTTATTTTTTTGCGTGTTTGTTTTCATTTTCGTTTTTGTTTTGTTTTCATGTGGGTTAAGGTATATGTTTGTTTTCATTTTTCCAATTTTTGCCAATTTTTTCTTACTTTTCATTTAATTTCTCATTTGATATATATATATATATGTATATACATGTTATCTTTTCCGTTTCTGATTTTGCTTCGATTCATTTTCGATCCTGAATGACAAGTACATGATGGCAAAATGCAAAAAAAGGAACAAGTATGAACATGATAATATTAACTGCACATGAGGGAAACACGATAAACAAATGAGAATGACACTTTCACATGATTGGAGAATGAAAAAATGACTTTACTTCGTGTGATCCCCACCATGACATTTATACGGTTTGTCACTGGCAAATCTTCTGACATTCTATCTGGCATATCTTCTGGCATTCTATCTGACATATCTTCTGGCATTCGCTCTGGCATTCTATCTGGCATATCTTCTGGCATTCTATTTGGCATTCTATCTGGCATATCTTCTGACATCCTATCTGGCATTCTATCTGGCAAATCTTCTGGCATTCTATCTGGCAAACATTCTGGCACTTTATCTGGCATACCTTCTGGCACTTTATCTGGCATTCTATCTGGCATATCTTCTGGCATTCTATCTGGCATATCTTCTGGCATTTTATCTGGTATATCTTCTGGCATTCTTTCTGACATTCTATCTGGCACTCTATCTGGCATATCTTCTGGCATTCTATCTGGCCGTTGCCCTGCGCTCAGAACCTGGCGGTTGAGGTCCAGCCGTGCCCACTCAGATTGGGAGCCAGCAGTTGAGGTCCAGCAGTGCCCACTGCGCGCGGAAGTTGGCGAAGAGATTGGCGACAAGTTGGCAAGGCGGAAGTGGACGTGGAAGTTGATGCAGACATGGTCGAGGAGAAACTGGAGGAGGAGGAAGAGGAGGAGGATGAGGAGAACAACTCTGAAAAATCTAACAACCCTCACCTGGCAGGTGGGGAATGACAATTTCACATGATCGGAGAATGATATGAAGCAGGAAAAAATGAAAAACACAACGGAAAAAATGAAAAAATAAGTCCTTGGTCCGGACTCAGTCTGTGGCTGTAAGATTCTCATCAGAATATCACATAATGTGTTCAAAGAAACAATGTACAACTTTGAAGGGCATATTTTCCATGCTTACATATACCATGTGTTTTTCACTTATATAAACAAAACCAAATACTGTGAACAGGGCATTGCATGCGCAAGGAGATTCATATCTGACATAGAAGCAAACATGTGCTACTTGAATGGAATGCTCTACCAGTTGAAAAGAAGTGCACATGTTGAAGGGAACACTCATTTCAAAGAGATGTAAAATTCCTTTCAAGAGAATAATTTAAAGTGCTTGAACATGTGTTGACAGAAGGGTTTGGCCCGACAATGCCAATATCAAACTCAGTCCTACAAACTCATTGGCTGCCTATGTTTTGGCATAGTCATTTGGTATATTTGGAGACATAAATCAAAGACAAAATTGCCTAATCCATGCCCAAGTTTCCCCCAATGATACCTGCATTTTCCACGGTTTTTACAAGGTTTTCCACTGAAACCACAGACTGGCAAAGAGTTGGGTCCTGCTACGTTTTTTTTGTTTTGCCAGCCCTCCAAAAAACCAAGAAGCCGAACGCAAAAAAAACAAAAAACAAAAAAAAAGACACCCAAAACCAAAAAACTATAAAACAAATGTACGCCCCAAGGGGAAGTAGTGGCAGAGAGTTGGTCTTGTCACGCTTTTGTTTTGTATAGCCACTGCAGAGATGCTAAGCAGAAATTGTCAATGGTGGCAGAGTAGTGACATAGCCATTGTAGATGTGCCAAGCAGAAACTGTCAGTGCAGGTGTAAGGGAACAGTGACAAAACAGCACTCTAAGGGTGTCCCTTTCTGTATATAATTCCCTTCTAAAGTTCTAAAGTGTGACCAAGTGAAATGCTTCCTTGCCAGGCATCAAGTTGGCCATTTTGGACTGCATTGCCAAATCAATGCGCTTGCGAGCAGTAGACTCAATGAGCCCTGGAACCATCATGAAACACCACAATTCGAAGCCTTGAAGCCTCAAACAAGCAGGGAGTTCAAGTCCACTTTGCAAGACTTGGAAATGATTCTTGATCGAAGTAGGATTGGAGCTGCAAGCCGTCCAAACCAATGTGTAAATCTCGCCACTCGTTTAATCATTCGAGTGAGAGAAAGCCTTGAGGTGGCCAAGCATCAGAAGCACTTTGGATTCAAGTCACAACTCTTGCAGCATTGACACAAAAATGATACTTCCTGCTCCGCTTCCGTCACATTTTACATGGTTTTACATCATGAAAATCCATAAACTTTCCCGGGCAACATTGAAGATATTGGACCAAGACATCCACAACCACAAGGGTGCTGCAGGAAGTGTATTATGATTTCTTATGTCCTACGAGTACGGTAAAGCTTGAACGACAAGCATAGGCTTTGCATGTGTCTGCTGCAATCTTAAACAAGCGGCATTAGAAACTCACCGGAGATGCTGGTCGTACCATGCCGTGCAGCATAGCTCAAGATCGTGCTGGCACAAAAACAAAAGGACAAGGGGATAGAGGTGTACCTCGAGCGATCATTCTGTCAAATCCAGGGTGCTCACCATCGAGATCTATCGAGATCTATCGCTCCCAAGTGGAGACTCGGCAAGTTTGAATCCAAACGCCAGAAATGAAACTGGACATGTTAAGGGTTCGCCGGGTTCACGTGAAGTAACTGGACCCTGAATTAATGTCCAGACAGAGAGTAAGTCAATACTGCCGGTCCTTGTCCAGCATTCATGTACCCCGTGCTTTAGGAACTTCTCATTTTCAATGGTGTGAGTTGCCCCTGACATGCTGGCCCATGATTTTTCACATCATTTCTGACAACTTCGAGCGGCACGTCAGCCATGATCACGCTCAAATTGAGATGGAACGTCACTTCGGCAACGTGCAGACAAATGTAGCGGTCAAATGGTCCCAAAGCCGTGCTCATGTTTCCTTACTTGTCCATGGCATGAGAGTCGAACGCCTAAAAACTTGAATGACTCAAGGACACAGTTTTTTTTGGCTCCTTGCCAAAGCACATTTTTGTTGCATACAAATAGTGCTAGGTACCAGCAAGATGTGCAATTCCAAAACTGCCATTTCCAATCTCTTGCTTCCAAGGTGGTTCTCAAAGTTTATGCTTCTCTTGATCATTGGCCCGGTCCTGCTCCCTTGCTCCTGCTTATACGTAATGAATTACAACTCAGCCATTGAAACCAATCCGCACACGTTTTTGTTCGGCTGCCTGGAGCATGGTTTCGTCTGTGCTTTGGGCGGCTGGCTCCGGGTGATGGTTGGTTCGGTTGGTTTTCCCCCTTTTTGGTTTTGAGGTTGTTGTGGTTTCCGCGGCTCTCTTCTGGGCTGCGGCTTCCTTGCTGTGGTCTGCTGTGGGGGCGGTTTACTGCTCCACAGCGCTCATGCGCTGCCTACTTGGGGGCAGTTGATGGACAAAGTGATGATGAAATGTTTTTGTTCCTGTCAGTTTCGGCAAGCCGGACAGCAAATCATGAGAAAACTTTGTCAATGCAGACCAGTTTCCGAGAATAACCATTATCTGCAAAGCAATACACATCCTTCAGGGACTTCAGGGTCGAACCTTTGGAGATTTCATGCACCGACTGGATTCTAGGCCATGGTCACCATTCCATTTCGAATATTTTCCCATGCATGTTCCCACTCAGCCAACCTCCGGGCACCGTCTGCTGTTATTGGAGACCGATCCACATGCATGAAAGCCAAATAGCCTCAGCTTTTGAAAAAAAACGACGGCTCCCACTCCATATGCAGTTTGCGTATGTTTGCGTATGTCCACTTTATTCTGTTGCGATAAGAGATTTGGTCGTAAAAGGTGGATGTCCTCCATCATGGTCGCTTCCAAAGTATCCCAAAGCAAGTTCTGCTCATCATTTTTTTCGGGGGGTTTGGCCATGTTGCACCCAATAATGGGGGTTTTACACTTTGTTCTTTGACAAACTTCTCTTAGACTTCTAGAAGAATCCATGTGCATAGTTGCGACCACCACTACAAGAAATGCTGGAGCGTTTGACTTATTTAATTTGTTCATGGCCATGGCACAAACATGCAAAAACCACATTAATGTATAGAATCAAAAAGCACCACAAATAGAATAGAATAGAATTATGCATACATTGTATGTCACACAGTGCCAAACAGTAATACTGTAACCAAACAAAATTCACAATCTTAAAATTCGCTTGAATATGCGCCTCTCTGCAGCTCGAGTGGCACAGAGTCACTGAGACGACCCAGAAAAAGTGAATGGCAGTTTGCTCTTGGGCAGCAACCGCATACTCGCCGAGCATGGTTATCCAAGTAATGTGCAATAGGGGCTGCTGAATACAGGTGAAGTGCCTGTGGCAACTGTCGAAGTCAAAATGATAGTTTCGAAAGATTCGGAAGGCTGGACGGTTCAAAGCATCGGCAACAAGATCATTCCAGTAGATTCCTAGCACAGTGGCAACAACCATGAACAACCAATATCAACCAACTGCAGTCAAGATTCAAGAGCAAAATGCAACACAAAACAACAACAACAAATTAAAAGCAGGTCACCCCGGGGTCAGTTGGTTCCTGCAAGTTTTTCTTTCTTCTCTTCCTGCCTCTGGGTCCCTCTCTCTGCCTCTCTCTTTCACACGTGTTACCCGTGCATGGCTTGACGTTGTATGGTCACTTTGAGGGTTTTAATGTCAGGTTACCCGTTCTGACGCTGATTGTAATTTTGAAGTTCCGTGTGGGTGGGATTTTGATATGATACTAATTATTCTAGATTCTAGTTGGCACCAGTGGGCACTTTGAAGTTCCATGCGCGTGCGGGATTTTAATGCCAGGTTACCCTTGCTGACGCTGATGGTCAGCCTGAAGTTCCGAAGGGGTGGGGTTTTGATATGATATTATTCTAGTTGGCACCAATGGTCACTTTGAAGTTCCATGCATGTGCGGGATTTTAATGTCAGGTTGACCTTGTTGACACTGATGATGTTAACTTTCATGGGCGTGGGGGCTTTGACCGAAGGAAATTTAGAAGTCAAACTTCCGACTTATGGACGCATGCAGCAACAATGGTGAAAGCAATCAGAGAAGAAACAGAGTTAGGAGAGAAGAAGTCAGACGAGAGAGTCTCTCGGAGAGACAGACAAAAGATACAGAAGAGAAGAAGTCAGAGAAGAGGAAGAATCAGAAGAAAGAAGGCCAAAGCGCGCGAAAAGGTAGTCGCTAAAGCGGCGGGTATGAAGCCATCTCGTAGGATGACAGATCAAAAATTGAACGCAGTTGTGGCGCGAAGCAGATGTGGAAGTCGAAACGAGCACCTCAGCTTTGGAGCATTTTTGGAACCCAATAGACCCGGTTAGACAAACAATTGACTAATAGTCAAAACTTTGGAGAATCTTGATTTTTAAGAAATAGGCAGATTTTGCTGTTGCCGATTTTGGTAAATCATATCCGCCGTTTTAGACAACTCAAGTTGGAGAATTCGGCAGATCGTGCTGTCTAAATCGGCAGATTAAGCCCTCTGCAGCGAGGAAGTTTCAAGGAAATTTCCTTGAAACTGCCTTGCACTTTGGGGAAGTTTTGCTGGCAGTTTGGGCAAGGTTTGAGGCAGTTTGGGAAGCAAGATTTGTAACCCTTGTGAGGCGTTAGGATGAACTTCATTTAAACTTCTTCAAAACTTCCGCCAAACTTCGTCCAAACTGCCTCCAAACTCCTTCGCAAATTTCGGCAAAATCTGCCGAAATCGGCAACCCATAGTTTGGAGATTTCGGCAAATCAATCATGTTTTTTCTCTAAATCATTTTGCCGAAAAAACTTGGAGATTCCAAAAAAATAGTTTTAAAAAAGTTGCCTATACGCCTTGGAAATCTATCGATTTCTATAAAATCAAGATTCTCCACGTTTTTGTCTAACCGGGTCTATTGGGAAGTTGAGCTGTCGAAAAAGTGCACGCTGCTGTGGCGTGAAGTGCGTTTCACAGTCAAAAGTGTTAAAAACTATTAAACATAATACTGACATATACTGACGGTCTCGGACCACTTTTGGACGTTGAGATGTTGAAAAAGTGGACGCGGCTGTGGCCCAAAGCATGTTTCACAGTGAAAATGGAAAAACACCAAATGTTCGGACCACTTTTGGACGTTGAATCGTCGTTTTTTGTGGCAGACGCAATGGATTCTGCACCTTGTCAAAAGTGAGCAAAACGGAGCAAAACGATCCAAACCGTGATGGTTTTGTAGCAGTTCAAAAACAATGAGGCATGAGACGTTTGCAGGGTGTCTGCAAACATGCACTTCGCGTGGCAGGCGCAGTACAGGAGATATCTTTACCAGAGATGTTTGGAGGTCTGGGCGCTGATTTCCGGCGAGAGGTTGCATTTTGGAGTATCAGATCTTCAGCTTTGCTAAGATGATTTTGCGTGACAGGTGCAGCACTTCGTATGACCTCTGGCCTCACCTTTTCGTGGTAGGCGCAGTACTTTAGACAGATGGTGTGGAAAAAATGCAAAACGCATTGGTACGAGGCCGTCAGCTTAGCACTTTCCACTTTTGAAGGAAGTCTCGCAGAACTGCTTCGTTTTTGATGTTGTCACCGTCAAATTTAGAGGAAGTCTCCAAGAATTGCTTCGTTTTGGACCTGTGAACTTCCACTTTTGGAGAAAGTCTTTCCGTTTCAGACAGACAGATAGACAGAACAGATAGATAGATAGATCAGATAAATTAGATTAGACTAGATTAGGTTAGGTTAGATTAAGTTAGAAGAGATGAGATGAGATGAGATTAGATAGATAGACAGATAGATACATAGACAGGTAGACGGATAGACAGACAGATAGATAGTCCAGCTAGGTAGAGAAATAGACAGATAGATAGATACACAGATAGATAGACAGGTAGACGGATGGACACAAAGACAGGTAGATAGACGCACAGACAGACAGATAGACAGACAAACAAGCACATGCAGATAGACAGGCATGCAGACAGATAGACAGATAGACAGGTAGGAAGATCGACAAGACAGATAGGCAGAAAGACAGATAGGCAAATAGACTGATAGGCAAATAGACAGATAGACAGATAGACAGATAGATAGGTAGATAGATAGATAGATAGGTAGACAGATAGATAGATAGATAGATAGATAGATAAATAGATAGATAGACAAACAGACAGACAGTGTGAGAGAGAGAGAGAGAAAGAGAGAGAGGGAGGAGACAGAGAGGAGACACAGAGAGAGAGAGAGAGGAGACAGAGAGAGAGATGAGAGAGATACAGGGAGATAGAGAGAGATAGAGAGAGGGAGAGAGGCTCAGCCTCAACGACCTTTCCGTCCATCAGTTCGCTCTGGCATCCATGCGTCACAGCAACAAACCTCGCCTGTATAGGTTTCCTATCTTTGAAACTTCCGCCACTGCCTTGTGCGGTCCTACTAGTATCATGTTGTTCACGTTGCTTTGAAGTTAATTTTTCATGGGGGTGGAATTGGATGTCAAGCTACCGTAGTGGGCACTGGTGGCCACTTTGAAGTTCCATGGGTGTGGGATGCAGTTGCGGTGAGATCTCATGCGGAGCTGCAGAGTTTCGGAATCTCGCAAACAAAGTTGCGCAAAGCGGAGGTGCGCAATCCAGGGAGTTGCGCAATCCTTGTTGCAAAATAATCCGACGACGAAGTGTTTCGCACCAAAGTTTCGCAATCCGGGCAAGTTTCGTAAGCATGTTTTGTTCCCCGTGCATGCGCAAAACAAGCCGGTATTTTCCGTTATTCCTTCCCCCAAACCAGTTTGACGCCTCTCTGAACTCTGCACTGCTGCAGCTCTCAACATCTCTCAACTCTCTGCAGCAACTGCGCTTTTTTTGGCTATCTCTATCCATCGCTTCTCAGTATGTATGAGCTAAAGAAATCATTGGACCTTTTCAAGAAAGGATTTGGCCTGTGAACTACCAGAGCCAAGGTGCACCAATCGAACTGAATTCATTTCTTCATCCACCAAGTTCTGAGGACTTTGATGCACCTCAGAATTCAGGCTCCATCTCTGGGTCCCCATGTTGACTCATGAGTGTTACATGAAAATCCGAGAAGAGCAGAACAACACAATTCAATGAGTCGAGCAAACTGGTTCCCCCAAATTGCATACTTATATTCGGCAACCATACCTCTTGTTTTAGAAATTTCTTCTGTCCTCGCAGCTTGAAATAAAATGCTGCCCAGTATGGGAGAGGGGGTGTGGCTGTGTGTGCGCTGTCGATGCTCTGCTATAAATTTACAATTGTGTGTGAAACATTTTCAGGGGCGGAAGGGGCCTAACAGCAAGAAACAATTTCTTCGCGTCTCGCGCAGCACATGAATGAACGTAAGAAAATCGCTGAAAGTAAACAATGAGTGTGAACAAGGCGGACACAATCAAGTTAGATCAAGTTAGTATTAATAATCCACTGGAGGTTAATCAATCCCCACCGGAAAAATGTGTTGGCAACACTAAAATGGGTCTGTCCCCCCGATTAATTAACCAGGTGGTAGTATTGATAAACCACAAATCCAGATTTTTTCTGCAGGGGTTGATTAATTCGGGTGATTCTTCTTTAAGAGTAGCCAAGCTGGCTGAAATTGCTGCTTCTCATGGATGCTGATAAACCGTCGCTGTCCCCAACTCTTACCCCCCATGCTGCTCATTGCTTTTTTCCCCCAAACAGCGTGTCCACACTGAGGGGTTCTTACGGTAAGCCCGGTGAGCGTACAGGTCGGTGCTTGATCAGGGTGCTCCAGCTGGTCTGCGGCATTTTTATCTATAAATTGCCGCATCAATCTCCACATGCATTTCGACTGCGCAGGCTCGCACAAAGTGTGGGTCGCGGCTCTGGTCGGCGGCAGGTAGTGGTCCTGGTCGGCGGCATTTTACCTGTAAAATTCTGCATACAGCGGCTCTTGAGCAATGCCTGAATGCATTTCGACTGCGCAGGCTCGCACAAAGTATGGGTCGCGGTTCTGGTCGGCGGACGTCGGCGGCATTTTACCTGCAAAATTGTCTTGTCTTGTCTTCCGTTGGCTTGCGCCATTGTCCTGTACTGTACTGTCGGGTTTTGTCCGCGGTTCCCGGTCTGGACCTCTGCGATTGCGCCAGATGTAGTGTGCCGTGTTTCCTCCGTCTTGTCCTGTCTTGCCTTCCATAGTCTTGCTCTTGCATCAGAGGCGGGAATCTCTTGTGTTCTCTTGTCTTTGTCTTACACCATTGTCCTGTACTGTCGGGTTTTGACCGTCTTGTCTTGTCTTCCAACGTCTTGCTCTTAAATCTCTGAAGAAATCCATGCATCTGAGGCGGGGATCTCTGCGGTTGCGCGAGATGTAGTGTGCCCTGTTTCACCCATCTTGTCTTGTCTCACGCGTCTTGTATACTTCATTGTCGTCCATAGTCTTGCACTTCCGAAGCATTCGATGCATCCGAGGCAGGAACACCCGTCTTGTCTTGTCTTGTCTTGTCTGCCACATATATATAAATATATATATATAGTCTTGCACCCCCGACGCATTGGATGCATCCGAGGCAGGAACGCCCGTCTTGCCTTAATGTCTGCCATAGGCTTGCACTCCCGAAGCATTCGATGCATCCGAGGTGGGTGCAGTCCCGAGGCATTCGATGCATTGGAGGCGGGGATGATGATACCTGTCCTGTACTGTCGTGTTTTGTCCGTTTGTTCGGTCGTGTTTTCCAAGGCCGTGCGCTGCCGAAGCATTCGATCCGTCGTGTCTTATCTTAAGTCCCGTCTTGCACCCCCGAAGCATTCGCTGCATCCGAGGGCGGGATCTCTGCGGCATCGGAGGCGGGGATCATTGTACTGCTAGTGTCGTGTTTCGTCTGTCTTGTCTTGTCCTCGTATATCTTGCACTGTCTAAGAGGTTGCTCCTAAGAGGCCCTTGCATTGAGATCTTGAAGCTGTTCTGCATTCGCGCTGCATGTGTACTAGAATTCTTCTGGGATGCTCCTGGGACGTTCTTGTATGAAGGTCTCGTCACATCTTTCTAGAATGTTCTTCCTTTGATGGTCTTGTGCCATTCACTTTGATGTCTTCGCATCAGCTTCTGGTTCAAGATCCTACACATTGAGTTGCTTCTTCTGCCACATCCCATTCCTGCTGCTGCAGGTACGAAAACTTCTAACCTAATCTATTTTTTTGTCTCGTAGCTGATGTTGCTTGTATTTGAAACATTGAATTCGCACTCCCCCACAGTGTTTGGGGCCCCTTGCTTGGATAATTTTCACAGAATTTGCACTCACAGGCGTGTGACTTCTAGGCTAAAAAGAAACGATTTCCCAAATGGTCAGTTTCTTTATTAAAATCCATTTCAAACCATCACTTTGAGAAGCTCCGAAAGGGTACCCCTCATGAGCCCCATGTCCCACCCAAATAATAGGCAGGGTTTCCCAAATTAATCAACCCCCTTGGCCCCTTCAGTTTTTTTTTGGTTTGAAAGGAGAATCAAATAAAAGTAGATTGATATCAACTGAAATCCTTACCAATCTTTAGATTTCTTCTAGGTTTAAAAGGAAAATCATTTGAAAGTAGATTGATACAGACTCAACTGGAGGTTGATCTCTTATGACTTCAACTTACGAGGTCGATTATATATTTAGGGGAAGAACCTTAGCAGAACCTTCTCCCTAGGTACCTAGCTTCCGGGGCGGGGTTGATAAATTAACTTGACATTATTCCTGCTGTCTAAAGGAGCAAATATGATGCGGCCTGTACTCCAGGACGAACAGGCTAACTTATACTGAAACGTTTGGCCAGTATGTCGGGCATTGATTAGCTGGCGAATATGAAGGTTCCCAGTTCTGAGACTTACCAAAGAGCCCCTTGAAGTTGGCCCAACACTCGCATTGTATGGACATATCTCCGCATAAATACAGAAGCCGCAGAAACATCTTTGTGAATTTATGATTGTGAATGCAGTCGCTGTTGCTTTGGAGTGTGCTTTTCTGCTCAATCTTGAAGGTAAAAAAATAAACACATTTCAATAGTAGAACTCTTCAAAACTTTTCAATTTGCCCTGCCCCCCACTGCTCAGCACGGGTACTGTCTGCCGATCACCATGAGCCTGTGAAAATAATTGACGCAGCGACCAAATCCACCGGAGGTCGTTCGCCTTCACCTCAGCGGTGAACTAATACTTGCAACATATTGCAGCAACATGGAACGTTCATGATGGAAATCTGATGAATACAATCCGGCGTAAATCCCCCTGTACATTTACCAGGCGACGTTAGGGCAAGCATTTTGTGCGGGAACCCAGGTGTCGAGCTTACAGAATGTCATGGTTTCAAGTTTACAAGATGGGTGGTGGTGGAGGCTTGGTGCGATTCCACTGGAAACACCGGTGAACCAAAAAACAAACCAAAAATCGGTGCCTTACAAAATGCTTGCCCCAAGTTCATTGCCAGGCCCCAAACCCAATCATTTTATCAACTTGTGTCTTAGAGGATGGTTGGCTTGGAAATACGCCTAACTTGGTACCTATCCCACTTCCCTGGGAAACACTGCAGTCCCTTTTCCCCAGTCCCCGAAACAATATCTATATTTTTTGGAACAGCATGATAGAAGTAAATACATCTACGACAAATACATTTAAATACAAGTTTTTCAACCAATCCATTTTGTAGCGTAGTTTGTTCCATTCTGACCTTCTGTCGACTGTAGACTGTAGTCCCTTTAGCCCCAGTTTTCTTACAAAGTGGTTTTGTAAGAAAACTGGTTTTCAAAACCTTCAGGCAAACATGAGCATGCACCCGCCTCATTTTTCGCCAACTCAACAAAAACACAGTTATATGACATGACTGACCCCGACGTCATTTTGTAGAGAATGTAGGCTCTTACAAAACGAGTCGCCTAACAAAAAAACGCGCCTGCTACACGTGGCAGGGTTCAGTGGGCAAAAATTGTTACAACATGCAACTTTTTGCTATGCCCTCTGACATTGCATGGAACATGGGTCCAGCCATTTCATAGCGGAAATGTGCATTAAGGTTATACGACAATAAATATATATCATGGTTGATCAGAATTCCTAGGATCCAGGAACGGCCATTCTTCACGAATAAAAAATTCTTTCGCGAATCGTTCGCGAACTCCATGTTTATCTTTCGCGGAATCCATGTTGAGCAGCAATTCCTCTTTTATGAAGATTCATTCAACACCTGCCAAATCACACCAAATTGTCACGGGTAACTTCTTCATAGCCTTGTAAACATGCAGCTAGCATCACGGAATCCCCTTCTCAGGACAGGTTGTTGCTGATTAGTCAATTTTTTTGCAAGGCTTATTGGCCTACTCCCTTCAAAATGCACTTTGACTTTCGCCCACTCCTTCGCAAAACTTTCGCGGAACTTTCGCGAAAATATGTGGTTTCCTCTCTTCAGGTAGGTTGGGTCCCGCGCGTGCTTAGTAGGCTTAGGTTTCGCTGCGGTAGGTTGGTTTAGGATCCCGGTTTGAATTTCTACTATGGGGTCGAGAACCCATTTTGCACCAAAGCATCAAAATTCCTAACCTCAGCCATTATAAAATGATGGTTCTCAACCCCCAGAGGATTACGGAAAATGACAACATGATACTGCTACAAAATGAAGATGATTGGTTTTTATCATGAGGTTACTTGAAGGGGAAATTCCACCACTACAAAATGACGATTGGTTTTTATCATCAAGTTACTTGAAGGGGACACTCTGCCACTACAAAATGAAGATTGGTTTTTATATGCTTTTATCATCAGGTTACTTAAAGGGAACACTTCAATACTACAAAATTAAGATTGGTTTTTATCATCAAGTTACTTGAAGGGGACACTCCACCACTATAAATGAAGATTGGTTTTTATATGTTTTTATCATCAGGTTACTTGAAGGGAACACTTCCGAAGGGCAACTTCCCTTGCTACAAAATGAGATTGGGTTTTACATGTTGTCTTCCGATGGGCAAATTCTCTTGCTACAAAATGACTTTCGATCTTTAAAGGTCTTTCAACTACCGAAACGTTGACAACTTATAAAATGCAATTCCCAAGCTGCGGGTACAAAATGCCTGGCCCATCCCCATTTTTTCATCTTAATTTAAGCCTGGAAAGGCCTTGAAACGGGGCACAAGGCCTCCCATTCTGTAGTTGAAATTCGAACGGGGATGGTTTAGGCGCTTCCGTCTTCCCCCTCCTCCGCTGGTCTGGTTCCGTTTCCGTCAGCCTCCGTTTTTTCTTTCCTTGCCCTTTCAGGGTTTGCCCGCTCCGGGCCAGGTGTGTTTGTGTTGGTGTTTGCTCTTTCCCTCTTCTCTTGTGTTCCCCTCTTCGCGTCCTGGTTAAGTAATTTGCATCTCATTTTCATTGTCATCTCACTTTCATTGTCATTTCATCTGCCCCGCTGTTGCGGGGCGTGTGTGTGTGTGTACCATCTGTATAGATGTAAAACTTCATTATTCTGCAGGGGCGTGTGGCACTCATGTCCTACCACACGCAATGAAGCTGTGGACATGAGTCGGAAGGGAAACGTGGCCGGTTTCCTGTACCTGCTGCTTTATGTATGTATACATATAATATATGAATATATAGATATATATAGTCCCGCCCCTGGGCGCATATAAGTCGCAGCTGGGGGGGACATATATTTTATTGCTGTTGGTTTATATGGTCAACGTCTACTGTGATTATACGTCCATATATATGATTATATATGTATATTCATCTTGTCATTTAATTGTTGGTGTTTTTGCACGTCAGATGCATTCCACAAACCGAATTCGTAACGACAGTTCTGAGCAAGTGCGTGTCAGTGAGGCGGGGGGAGGCGGCAGGACGGACGGGAGTACACAACCAGAAACAAGAACTCCACACGAAGATGGGGAAAAATCTTTCGCGAACTCAAAAACTTTTCGCGAGGGTTTCCAACATAGCATGCTTGGCTTCCGCAAATAAAACTCCTTAAAGGGACCATTTAGTCCATATAGGTAGGAAATGGAAGTGACCGAAGCATGCTGCTGTTCATTCATGCCCGAAGCAACAACTAAACGGAAGCTTGAGAATATACGTTTGAATACCGCAAAATACTCGCTGAAATCATTCAGTAAATACGTGTACTTTCTGAATGAAATGACAGGTAGGAGACAAGGAGAGATATCTGGAGTAAACCCATCACTGTAATTAAACACATATAGATCCACTCCCAGTCTCTCTCCACTCTCATTAACACGAGGGTGCTTTGTAAACTTAGGCCCTAGGCGTGCAAACATTGGCATTCAGATCACTTAATCATTCCACAAAACATATCAACATATCACATAGCAAACGTAATACAAAATGCACGAAACTCTCTGACTCCGAGCATCGGTGAGGTGTTGAATAAACATGATGGCGCCCAGAGTGGCCAGCAACGCAGCAGTAGCAGAGTTCACAGAGTTCACAGAGTTCACTGTGATATCTGCCATTGTGTGACCCAATCTGTTTGCAGATTCGGGAATGCTAAAGGCAGCACAGCTCGATGCAGTGCGCCGGGGCTACGAGCTACCACACCCCAAAATGGCTGCGGAGCCCACTCTCAACTTGCGAATCAAGAGGATCAGGTTAAAATCATGAACCCCAGTCCCAGCCGTAGTAAAACCATGCACCACTGATGCAGTCCCATCTTGTACGATAAACGAATTTCTAGATAGATTTACTCCATTCAATCAATCTTGAAAGCTCCTGGGAAATACTTGCAACAACTTAACCGCCACCTGACAAATGCATCAAATGCACACGAACGATCACAAACGCATCTCCAAAGAGACGAATCTCCCAAGAGACTGTGCATCTTCGCTAAAGCTCTGCAGGCAAGCAACTTCCGCTGGATGGTCCGACCGACTTGGGAACGAGTTGAAAATTCCTGACCGTCTAACGCATCCAAGAGGTTGGACCTGGACTCTTCTCCAAATTTCATGCACAATCATGCACAGTTGTACGATTCAAATATTTCATGTCCAATTCTGTATGACTCAATCGTGGTTCATCTATGTTCATCTAAGTTCATCTTCCGGTCAGTGCAACGCAACATCTCGCAACATCTCGCAACATCTCGCAGCATCTGCCAATGTCCTCCATTGCCAGATCCATCGCTTTGAGCCTCTCTGGCTGTGGAACTGTGGGCCGTGGCAGTGGCCGTGGCGGTGGCCGTGGCGGTGGCCGTGGCCTGAAGTATTGATTGCAGGATTGTAGGATCAGGAAACCAGGAAACATGCTGCGTAGCTGTAAAACATGCAAAAAAAAGCAGCGAATTAAGTCTCATTAAGTCTAATTACGTCTCATCGCGCTGGCTACACTTGAAGAAAACCCGCAAAGAGCAGGCTCCGATTGTCATCCCCCAAGAAACTTGACACTCTTGCCACCATGCAAATATAAAGAAATAGTATGAAATAGTAAGGGAAACATATCCTTGAACTTCAGTTGGCGGGTCCCGGGTTTTGACAAACTAAGTTGAGTATCATGCATAGCAAAAGTCGCCCAAGCCATGTCCCCTGGGGTTCACATACCGATTCATCTGCCCAAGTACCCATAGGCCATGGGATGGACCAGCAGAATCTGTGGATCGGATTGCGTACTTTGACGCAGGCCTGAGGGACTCAGGGAACATCTTGATAGACATTGGGGACTCGGGACCATCATCCCACCTAGGGATAAGTACTATATAAGTATAATAATTACTAAACATGTAAAAGTAGTGTAATTACATAATATGAATTCGAAATAGTTATTATGTTATATATATATATATTAAATGTTATATACATGTTATATATATATGTATATAGTCATATGTATATGTGTAATTACACATGTTTGAAACCAACATCCGCTCCTGGAATTGGTTTGGTTCCAAAATTAAGGGTGTCCCATAGAGAACAATCAGGGAATAGAAAATGAGATAAAAGGAGAAAGATGAGAAAGAGTCTTCAAATGTTGCACTTTCTCGAACTTGGGATATCCCCACAACCCCCGGTCCATCTAGCGCATGAAATCATGGGCTGAGACATGCAGGCAGTCCGAACTGGTGACGCGCGCGATGACGCCCAAGCAGCAAATTCCCACCCATCCGGCAATATACTCCTGATATCTCAATAAGTATCTGGAAATCCTACAAGTACTTGCAACTCACCTACATGCAAGTGCTCAACTTGTTCAATGTAGAGTTTCTAATGGTTTATCATCATTTTCCCGATTAAAGTGGGTATAATAACAAGGAAATAGAGCCACCACTTCTGCTCAAACCGTATTGTTGGTCATTTATCTCATTGTGTTCCCATCACTTCCATTGATTTCCCTAGAATTCTAGTGTTTTCCAATAATTTGCACACTATATCCCCAGTAGGGTTGCTTTTGCACCCATTTTGGACCACTTCCTCCGTGCAAAGCTTGGGACCGGCCTCACCCGGGGCGAAGCACTCTGCGCTAGCGAAGCACTCCGCCGCGCCGTGGCAGACGGGATGCTACCAGAGTCGACGGCCTCCCAATCCTGCGCTGAAAAACAGCCTGGATAACTTTGAAAATTGGGTGAATAATAATATGATATATGATTATTATGATTATTATGATTATTATGATTATTATGATTATTATGATTATTATGATTATTATGATTATTATGATTATTATGATTATTATGATTATTGATTAAATTATACAGCTGTTCGGCTGTACAAATTTTCCGTCACCCCCGTCAAAGCAGTTTTGACGGCCAATGTTGCTTTCAGAAAGTTAGGAACGCCAATGCATTATAGTTTTAATGCTGCTATCAATATTGCCGCATACACTTCCTTTATAAAAAGCCATAACGCAATCAAATACAGAAAAGAACCGAACCGAATGGAACCGAATGAATCCATGAACCGGTCTCGACACGAACCGCGACAGAACCGAACCGGAACGAAACACTTCGCGGTTCCTAAACTTATTTTCGAACCGGTGCGAATCGATCCGAACCACGGGAACCCTGATATTATATGGTATGATCAAAACATATTCGAGAATTGGATAAAACCATCAGAGATGAGGGTCAGAACCTACCATGACATGTTTTTTGATGAACTCTGAAAATCCGGGTTAATCATGAAAAAATGCGGTATAAATCGGTATAGCTGGTATAGCCACCAAACATGGCTATGATATTTTATACACATTGACATGGAGGTGTGTTACCACCAAACATTGGGTGCAGTATAGTACAGTAATGTACAGTGTAGTTAAAAAAAACTTGGGTTCAAAACCTATTTAGAAAATATCTTGGGGAATGAAATGAAGAAACTATTGGTGTTCACCAAGTATCAAAGGCCACACCTGTTTGTCCAGTACAGTAGGGGGAAAACTTCTTTTCGAGCAGCAAGAATCATGTTTTTTTTTGGTGGTAGCGCCTGTAAGGGCCGTTCATTCGTGCACTTTTTACTCCACTGCCTTGTTTTTGTTTCTTTCCGTCTATGTTTTGTTAAACTACGTGACGTCATAAGAACTTCTATAATTATTGCACTTCCACATCCTCTGCACGCTCGTTTCCGATTGACACGTCATACGCTTGGGGTGGGGTTAGTTGGATGGGGTGGGTTGAGGCATTTTTGTCTTGCACTTGCACACCTACCTGATGTTACGTCATATACTTTTATTCTTGCCACGTCATAAGAACTTCTCTAGCACTTACACACCTTCTGCACGCTACCGTATATACTTTTCTTGTTGCTATGTTCTGAGAAGTTTTCCAGCACTTCCACATCTTCTGCACGCTACGTTATTTAGATAACTTGATGCCACGTCACAAGCACTTCTTTAGAGTTGATGCTACGTCATGATAACTTTTCTTGTGCTTCTAATACAACTTCAAGCTACGATATATATATACATCACTTGATGCTACATCAATCACAAATGTGTAAAAGCAAAGTTTGACCCGCCAGAAAGACGTGAAACAAATGTCTGAAATGTTGGAGAGGTTGTCGAAAACAACTTCGTGAGCAAACCCTTGCAGGGGTTTTACATGTTTTTCTAGCGTCGATTTCAAATGAAATCCTTCAATACCACCATTCTTTGGTGACCCCAACCTCCAAAGTACAGGTCATGTATGATGGATTTTGAGTATGTTTGATCCATCTATTTCCAGAACATGACTGTACACTGAAGTATACTGAAGTGAATTATTTCTAACATTGGACATTTGAGGCCGCAAACGATTGATCACTTTGAGCGATTCGAGAATCTGATTATTTCCACAAATGGATGCCAGAAGTTGCAGGTGCCAGGTGAATTTCTTTTGTAGAGTGTCAGAAAAAAATGGTTGCGACATGAGTTTGTGCAAACATGGGACGCACACCAACATTGCAAGTTCAAATGGTTAATAATTGGTTGCAATTGGGGGCGACCCATTTTCGGACAAACCCGCATGTCATTGATATTCATTGACATTATATCAATCGATACTAAGAATTACATACAATTACCTAGATATTAGCAGGTCATCAACACTTTTGTGTTGACTTCATATCTTTCACCCATGAATCTTCGAATCGCTACGCGCCGCGCATATGCCCATGATGCGCATGGCCTGCCAGTCCACACTGCCGCAAGAAGTTTTGCACGGTGCTGCATCGACAGGTGGAACGGCTGTAACCTGCGGCAGTTGGCAAGGGTTTTGTCACCCCAAAAAGGTTCTAGACTCTTAGACATCTCAGCAGAAACATCCACCAAAATGATCAAAAAGCATCAAAAAGCTGGTTTTGCATGGTCTTAAACGATGTGGATCGGAAGGCGGTTCAAAGAGAGGAAATCTACGGCAGGTTTAATTTAGCCCACAATTGATATCAGCCGCTATATCTTCGTTTGTCTAAGTGCTCTGAATGTGCACTTCTTCAGATTGACAGCATCTGTGTTCAAAGGAATTAACTTACTGGAGCACATGTGAGAATCCTTCAAAAGATCACCCGTTCGATGCACATTAAATTCAAATCCTTTTAAACATGAAAATATGAAATCAATTGAACTCATGAGTGCACAGTAGTCATTCCTTCGGGGAAAGCCAATGGGAACCTTCGCTCGCTGACTCATGCTGACTCAGCTGCCTGCGGGTGCAGGTACACCTCCGGACTCTTTCGTGATGTAGGAGGCGTTGCCGAAAGAAGTTTAGTGACCCACTCCTTGCATCCAAAAACAAAGTCATTTCGAAAGAAAAAAAATAGGGTATTATAACTTGTACGCAACCAACATGAGGAAATAATTAATGCAGAACATTCAGAACAGTTGTGAGAAAAAGGGCGCAATGAAGGGTCAAATATGCTATGTCCTTTCGTCTTTGGGGCAGGCAACTTCCATGATTGAGGAATTGCAGAATTGAAGTGCAGTGAAGGAATGTTTGTGTGTGTGATCTGAAGATATTTGAAGCACAACTCATGAGTTGCTTTCTCAGCGCTAGCCGCTAGATTTTTGTTCTCTAACACCATCTTCAATCTTCACTATACGTGAGAAGATCCTCAACCAGACTGGAGGGCGAATCGTGCGTCGATCCCTGAATCATTGCTGCTAAAAACACAAGAACAAAGGGATGAAGCATCATGAAGCATCCCTGGCCAGTGCGGGTGTTTTCCTTGGAGCAACAAACTGACCAAATGTGAAATCCATCGAATAGGCCTTGAAATTTGAAACCTAACAACTTAACACATAATTCGGTGGCACCGTTATCTTTAAATCAGGAACTTGGAACCCACCCAAGCCTGTTGGATTCTGCTTGGCTAAAAATCCTGCACCCTCTCAACCCGCAACGACCACACAAATTGCATCATGTTCAGACCAATGATTTCATTTCTATTGCATAGGCCATGGAGTTGATTCACTGGTGATCGCAGGGTCATGTCCCCTCGGAACTGAATTTATATATACCGTAATTATTTTTATATTTACAGTACGTAGAATTGGTGATAGCGCACTTAAACATCTTAAACTACCACACACCAAAATGGCTGCGGAGCTCCGAATCAAGAGGATCAGGTTCAAATCACGAACCCCAGTCCCAGCCGTAGTAAAACCATGCACCACTGATGCAGTCTCATCTTGTACGATAAACGAATTTCTAGATAGATTTACTCCATTCAATCAATCTTGAAAGCTCCTGGGAAATACTTACAACAACTTAACCGCCACCTGACAAATGCATCAAATGCACACGAACGATCACAAACGCATCTCCAAAGAGACGAATCTCCCAAGAGACTGTGCATCTTCGCTAAAGCTCTGCAGGCAAGCAACTTCCGCTGGATGGTCCGACCGACTTGGGAACGAGTTGAAAATTCCTGACCGTCTAACGCATCCAAGAGGTTGGACCTGGACTCTTCTCCAAATTTCATGCACAATCATGCACAGTTGTACGATTCAAATATTTCATGTCCAATTCTGTATGACTCAATCGTGGTTCATCTATGTTCATCTAAGTTCATCTTCCGGTCAGTGCAACGCAACATCTCGCAACATCTCGCAACATCTCGCAGCATCTGCCAATGTCCTCCATTGCCAGATCCATCGCTTTGAGCCTCTCTGGCTGTGGAACTGTGGGCCGTGGCAGTGGCCGTGGCGGTGGCCGTGGCGGTGGCCGTGGCCTGAAGTATTGATTGCAGGATTGTAGGATCAGGAAACCAGGAAACATGCTGCGTAGCTGTAAAACATGCAAAAAAAAGCACTGGATTAAGTCTCTTTGCGCTTGAAGAAAACCCCGCAAAGAGCAGGCTCGGATTGTCACCCCCCAAGAAACTTGACACTCTTGCCACATCTTGCCACCATGCAAATATAAAGAAATGGTATGAAATGGTAAGGGAAACATATCCTTGAACTTCTGTTGGCGGGTCCCAGGTTTTGACAAACTAAGATAAGTATCATGCATACATAGCAAAAGTCGCAAAGAGTGTTTCGCCACTTCGTAGTTTGGAACATTACCACCACGCGATGCAGGCGCATGCTGACGTATAAACAGCTTACCAAGCGGACTCCATACAGAAGTCAAACGAGACTCCACGCCTCTCCTAGGAATTCAAGGCAATATATGCGCAAACAGCAGGAGCCAGGGGGAGCACGAAGGAAGAAAGGCTTCTACAACATTAACATTAACAACACCACCAACCCAACCAACCGACCGACCGACCAACCGACAGACAGACAAACAAACAAACATGCATGAAACAGGTCTGTTTTGTGAGGTTTCAGGGGCGGCGTTAGCACTTTTGGGGTTCCTACAGCCTACAGCATTGCAAAATGAACGCAAAACGCACACAAAGACGCTATTTTGGTGTCCGCCTTTGGTGCAGCAAGCGGTGAAAGACAAGCAAGCATGCAGTTAAGGCTTGCAAAGCTACAAAAACAGCAAAATGCATTGGTTTCACAAAGGATATTCCGGACAATCCATCAACAGCCAGAACTACATTGAGCTTGAGGAGCCTTGAAACCCAATGCAGGAAAAAAACGGTTCTATCCCAGACGTCCTTCTGCCATTGTGCACTTGTCAACAATACCGCGCAAGTCGAGTATTTCAATGGTCACTTCTCCAATCCAACAACCAAAATCATGCAAAATTATGCAAAATTCAGATTTAACTGTCCGCAACTTGCACTTCAACATTTCAACATCTTCCAACATCTTTCAACATCTTTCAACACCTGATGTTTTTCTGCTGAGATCTGCTTTGCCCATCGCCCACAAGTGCCTTGGACTCGGACGAGACTTGTTCATCGCTGCCATGAGACCTGGAAAGGATGAGCTGCAACCGTGGCGAGGCGCTCACTGGGCAACTCATCCCATCCCATTTTTCGGTGCACACCCGCAGTTACTCCCGCGTTTGACATCATGTTTCTTATGGTTTCTTATGGTTTCTTATGGTTTCTTATGGTTTCTTATGGTTTCTTATGGTTTCTTATGGTTTCTTATGGTACCTTATGGTTTCTTATGGTTTCTTATAGTTTCTTGCGGTTTCTTATGGTTTCTTATGGTTAATATGGTTTCTTATGGTTTCTTATGGTTTCTTATGGTGTCTTATGGTTTCATATGGTTTCTTATGGTTTCTTATGGTTTCTTGCGGTTTCTTATGGTTTCTTATGGATTTTTATGGTTTCTTATGTTTGTTTGTGGTTTGTTTGTGGTTTCTTGTGGTTTCTTATGCTTTTTTTTTGTGGTTTCTTGTTGTTTCTTATGGTTTCTTATGATTTCTTATGGTTTCTTATGGTTTCTTATGGTTTCTTGTGGTTTCTTATGGTTTCTTATGGTATCTTATGGTTTCTTATGGTTTCTTATAGTTTCTTGCGGTTTCTTATGGTTTCTTATGGTTAATATGGTTTCTTATGGTTTCTTATGGTTTCTTATGGTGTCTTATGGTTTCATATGGTTTCTTATGGTTTCTTATGGTTTCTTGCGGTTTCTTATGGTTTCTTATGGATTTTTATGGTTTCTTATGTTTGTTTGTGGTTTGTTTGTGGTTTCTTGTGGTTTCTTATGCTTTTTTTATGGTTTCTTGTTGTTTCTTATGGTTTCTTATGATTTCTTATGGTTTCTTATGGTTTCTTATGGTTTCTTGTGGTTTCTTATGGTTTCTTATGGTATCTTATGGTTTCTTATGGTTTCTTATAGTTTCTTGCGGTTTCTTATGGTTTCTTATGGTTAATATGGTTTCTTATGGTTAATATGGTTTCTTATGGTTTCTTATGGTTGCTTGTGGTTTCTTATGGTTTCTTATGGTTTCTTTTGCTTTCTTATGTTTTTTTTTGTGGTTTCTTGTGGTTTCTTGCGGTTTCTTGTGTGGACTTAAATATTTGGTGAAGGGAGACACCTGACAAACTCAGAAACAAAGCTGTACCTTTTTTTCTTCTAAATGGCAGTATCATCATTGGGTATATTCTGCGGTTGGGTTCACCACACTAGCAGTAGAAAGGATCGACCAACACTAAGAACATGCAGGATTGGTCCAGGTGCAATTGCCATATTCCACAAATCTCAAGGTCTGCATGCAAATGAGACTGTCAAGACATTCTGAAACACGTTGAAACGACAAACCTTGTGATTCAGCCCACGTGCACCATTGAAGAAATTCGGACTGGTTGGAAGTTTAAACCCATGTACCTCCAAGTACATGTTAGTCAACTGCGATTATCATCGCGGATAGGGTTGAGAAATGTTGAGAAGCAAACACATTGGAAACCACTAACAGACATTGCTCCGCAAAGGAACGGCTGAGAAGTACAGGTACCGCTCGGAGATTGTGCCTGGCCATCGGGGTGCAGCTTCCTAAAGGCACCTTCACCTGCTACTACTGGGATGATGGCTGAATTTCAATGGAAAGTAAGTGAACTGCGACCCATCATCCCACATAGTTCAGATAGTAAAGGGATGCAAAGGGAGTATATGGGAGTATACTCTTATTTCAAAATATTTCAATTTTCTATATATATATATATGTATAGTAACCATTTAAAAAGTTCAGGGTTGATGCAGTAGCATGCCTAAAAAACCTACAAGCAGAACCTGTATAACTTCATGGTGAGATGGAGTCTTCTTCTGCTTAGGTTCAGTACGGAGCCGGATGCTTCAATCGGTTCAACAGCTGCAGCAACCTTTTTTCAATGCCACTCTGGGCGGGTGATGAGTTTGGTCTCTAACGACCAGCCATTCAATTCTGCATCTTCACGCCATCATTTTCTACATTATGCACGAGGGTTGCCGGCTTTTCCCCGTGTTTGCGCTTCCAAAACATCCGTTTGTTTGCCTCCCATAGCCCCATATTGTTGCTTTAATTTCTTATTTTAAACAGCTCCCATTTCTTATATGTGAAGCTATACATGTTTGGCCCCACTTTTGCGGGCTATAGGCTATGGCCACGGTCTTTGTTTATGCCTTGCTTATACATAAGTTATATAAGAACATACAAGAATCCACCATGCCATTTTTGTGGTTGGCATTTTCCACAGAAGCAAACACGATATGGTTATGGATTTCAAAGGTAGGTAGTTCCAAGAAAACAAGGACATAATTAAAAGGTGAAAAAAGGTTAAAGAAAAAAAGGTGATTTGGCTGAAATCCCAAAAGGTAAAGAAAAAGGTAAAAAAAAGTACCTGGGAACTAGGACAATATGAGGTATATATGAGGTAAGTCATGGGGACAGCAACCATGCAAGCATACCGCACAGATGCAAATGGTTTGCAAACAAACACATCATTTTGCCCATGACGTGTGATGCGGAGTTTCGGGTTTGCTCGGCACTGGGTGGGGATGGCAGGTGGTGAAGTGGGGAGGCAGGGCAAACGGGGAAGGGGGATGGTGGGGTGAGAGGGTCAGGGAGGTGATGGGAGGTGAGCCCTTGGGTCAGGCGGCTCCTTTTTCTCTCCTTTTTCTGGTTTTCCGGTTCACCTTTTTTCACATCATTTTCGCCTTTCTTTACCTTTTTCTTCACATTTTGTTCACCTTTTTCGTTAAACATGTTACAAAAACCTGAAAAAAAGGTGAGAACTGAAGGCATTCAATTCCATGCGGGACTGAAATGTGTTGCGTTCCTGCTGCACGGGTTTTCCAGAAGCTGAAACAAACATATTGATATTGCTCGCGCCTGTGGCATTTTTTGCACTTACCCAAGACAATCCCAAAAGGACCTTTGAGCAGCCATGTTTCGAACATATTCTCAGTATATACATAATTTGCCTAGGTTCAAGCTAAACCAAAACCCTCAGTGAACTTTAAATCAACGCTGAGTTAACCTTAAAACAAATCTTACGTTGAAAAAAACAACAAAACAAACCCTGAACTAACCATTTACAGTAATCCCAAATTTACCTTAATTTCACCCTCAATTAGCTCGAAACCAGCCCTAAATGACTTCAAATTGACTGTCAGCTACCTAAATTAAGGTGTATTAACTTCAAATTGACCCTAAATCAACCCTAAACGAACCCTGAACTAGCTCTAAATTGACCTCAAAAACCTTGAATTAACCCAAACTAGTGTAAGCCTCCAGCGAAACTCTGGACGGCGATTTTTATCAACCAATCGTTTTTGAATGTTTTTGAGGATTTGCGTCTTTTAGAACCAATTTAACATGAGGATGTCCCTTCATCAAAACGTGTGATCTAGCCGCTGAAGATTGGTGATTGTATCCGATAAACATGGAGATGGGGACTTTAAATGACTTTAAGATAGACGTAGCAATCAAAGTCAGGATTTTTCCAAATGACAGAGAAAAGATTTAACCAACAGTGGAGGGAATCAAAGATTCAGCAAGGTAGAAATGAAGATGCTACTGGTAACATATTTGCAATTGGCCGTTGAAAAAAAAGGGACATTTAATTAACCAAATTTAGCCGTAAGTTGGGGTTTGTGGTTGATGATCTTGCCCTATATCGCAGAAGTACGCTGGTCAAAGTAATTAACTTGAACAACCACCAAGGGGGTAGAAGAAACAGTTAAGGGGGTGCAACCAACGAACATGGGGCTGGGGACGCTGGGGATGCTGCCACTATGTGATGCTCCTCGTTCAAAGCGCTTTGAACTCGAGCTCGGGCAGCATCCCTGGCAAAAGCACATCCAAATCAGGAGACTTCTCTTCATTGTGGTTGTGTGGGACTTGTTAAGGGCACAATGGAATCAATTTGCAAATTTCTATGACATGTTGTATAAGTGTCAACGGGATTGGCAAAACCTCCAGTGTCTGCACTGGCAATGGGAAAGCAGTGTCAGCAGCTTGGCCATGGCCACTTCAAAGTCACTCGGTCTCCGCCTCAAGCACCGCTTGGTGGCAGCCGCGGTCACGGTTGCCTGCTCCACGGTGCCTTTGGTTTGCCGCAACTTCTCCTGCACTTGAAATCGCTGGAAATGGACACAGCCCTGGAATTGAAGATTAATCTTTTGCAAGAGTACAGCTTCCCCCATTTTTCTGGATGCGTCTAGGTGTAAATGCTGGCATGTTCGGTGTAGTTGTTCGTCGGCAAGTCTCACGGCTTATCTTTTCCAGCTCTCAAGTGGTCCTGGACCCTGCTGGTTTGCTGCTGTAGCTGTTGCAACTGTTGCAGTTGCAACTGTTGCAGTTGCCGACACCGTCTCTCCCGTGCAGAGTCGAGCCTCGCCTGTTTCAAGGGGGGCCAACGTCAAAACATTGTAGTCTTGCAGGGTTAAGATGTCCAAAATATGTGTTTTTTCACCAGAACCCACCAATTCCTTGTATGAATTCAAGTGGTAGGAATAGACAGCAAGGGTGCCATCCCCAAAAATTAAAGCTGGAACCAATCCCATTCTTTTTGCCAGTTAAATCCTAACTTTCTTGCGTAACACGCCCCATATTAGTTAAAAACCAATTCCAACTTCCGACGGCTCAAACACATGTTCAAGTGATTTCAGGATATTTCAGGTGTCTTTTTGTCAAAAATCGAAATCTTTTGGACCCCAAAACATCTCCATCCCTGAGCCAAGACTCCGCCAAGTTCTGTGTGGCCTTGGTGTTGTCCTGCGCCTGCAACGGAGTGGAAGGGAAAACATCTACGGCGGAAACCGGGAAACCAATGGAAACCATGATTTCTTCCCCGAATCTCCCCCAAAAAATATAGGGGTTCCATATGGTTCCATGGGATTCCAATGATCGAACATGATTTGCCTAGTGTTCCTCCTGCTATTGTTTTTCCGCTGGCCAGGGCAAGTTGCCAGAATGTACAGTAGCATACAGTAGCTATCATACACCTGCTGTACGTTAACATACGTTAACCCCCTTCCCGCCTAGAATACCCTTAAACCCCAAAAATAGCCTAGTTCAACATGTTCAACATTTGATCTGTACATATCTGGATCATCCAATTGGTGACACAATGATCCGCATGGGCAATTGTTGTACGTACGTACTTCTAAGACCACACATGTTGGCCATTGGGTGGCTCAAGAAGAATGATGGATGTAGAAATGAACTGACATATTCTTTTGCTGGACATCTTCAGGAAATTCACACAGTCTATGGTCCATAGCCTCAATTTGATTGGGACAGCAGCAATGGGTATATTGCCGCCGATCTTGGCTATATGAACCAACCAAACATGCGGTGGGTCTACACTCTATACGCAAAAAAAGTGTCTCTCCATTTGTGGGCGGAACAGCAACCGATTAAACTACCAAGCTCACGCTTGGATTGTACTGACAACTACTTTAAATTCGATGGTGGGTGAATTTAACACGGTTCAAAAAGGAGTTTCCCCATACTGAAAACATGTGCGAATACACCCCTAATCATTAGCATTCGTGGCAACCGAAAGTGAACAAATCACGATGTTTTTGGCTATAGTGGCTTTTGCAAGGAAACACCACGTGAGCATTACAAGCAAGACTCGAAACGTTGAGACTGCACAAAGGCCTGTGGGTTATACTGTTCGAACCAAGCCTGAGGATCGGCAAATGTCTCTGTGTAAGTTCAGTTGCCCTTGTTACTGCAGTACACTCTGATTTCGTCTCCATCCATAGAGTCAAGCTGTGCCATCAAAAGCTGATACAAACGGGGTGGATCTCTACTGGAGAACAACGTTCCTTTTGACCCCTCGTGTATGTCAACATTGCGCGCTTATAAGCCAACAAGGAATCACTGCTGCGCAAAAACATGCAAAAACTGGCTGAAAATCGATGAAACACGCATCATTGCGTCTCGGGAACACTGGCTCTTTCCTGACCCAAGCCGATGGGAGAAGCCGAAGCATCGCTGTCATACAACGTAGCTGAGTATAGTTCAGCCTGACCAAATTCAGCACCAGATGTCTGAGGCCCTGGTTTTGCCGGCAGATTCGTTGTTATGCTATTGCTACTGGTGCTGCCACCAATTGCAACTCCTCTGAGAACGTGCCCAGCACTGTCAGCTTTCAAGACCATTCTAGACTTGCAAGCTGCAATCTGCATCGCTAAGTGCATCAACTTATTTCTCTCTTACACTTCATATCCGGATCTTCAATTAAGTAGCACTTGTTTTTTCTGCTCATAACATTTTTTGGTTGGATTTGCTTTCATTCTGACTTTTTATGCTTACTTGAACTAAGACACGTGCATTTGTGTCCTGACAGATTGGTATTTGAGTTTTTTACCTTGTATTTACAGTATTTACGCATATTTACGCTAATTTCCCCGAAAAATACGCTCAGATTTTGCTTTGAAGCGCAAAAAGTGGAAGAATGCCAATGAGTGGATACCTCCTCTATATGTACTGAAAAACCAGAGCTTTCCCGCGGGATTCCTGAGCAATGTGGGATTCTTGAAATTTTGGATTTGGGTTTTGGTACGCGTACCTACTCGTATTGTCCCAACAACAGAATTCAAAGGCTAGTGTTTGATACAGTGATACGTCAATTGAGGAGAAACCACGTAAAACACAAGAAAAAACGAAAAAAACCTGTATAATCCATGGCAAAGAATGCTGGTTAAAGAGAATGCAAACAAGTAATAGGCGACTTCTTGGTCTCCACATGAATCGGAAATTCAAGGTGATACATTCAAATCAGCGATAAAGAAAACTGCACGAACTGAAAAACAAAAACTATAATGTGTTCAGAGAAATCTAGCTTTAAGTGCATCAGTTATTCTTTGTGTGAATCACTTGAATGCTGTTTTCACGGCGTGGAAAATGAGAAACAAATAAGATGTTGTTTGTTGTTTAGTTGACGCAAATCAAACAACGCCAACAACCCGAAATTGCATAGTTTAGTCCTTTCAACGGTTGATGCTGATGTAACTTTCTTGAGATTTTTGTTTCAAAACCCAAAGGAAAACTTCCTTGATATATGACCTCTTTACAACATGCATGTTTTCTTTGAACGATACAACCAGTATTTGCTGAAAATATGCATTGCCCTTCGAAAAGTCCAGTCCTTTTTCTCAAAGAAGATGGAAACCACGAACCTGAATGTAGTCACGTTCTTGGACTACGAAGTGCAAACCTCTGCAATAGGAAAACGAACCTTTTCGTCTCAGCGAAGGCACCTGGGCAACAGTTCACAAAGAGACAACTAACCAGCACAACAACATCACCACCAGCACAACGAAATCACCACCAGCACAACAACATCACCAGCGCAACGAAATCACCAGCGCAACAAAATCACCAGCACAACAACATCACCAGCGCAGCGAAGTCACCAGCACAACGAACGCACCAGCGAACATCACCAGCGCAACAAAATCACCGGCACAACGAAATCACCAGCGAACAACACCAGCGCACCAAAATCACCAGAACAAACGAAACAGCTAGCACAACGAAATCACCAGCACAACGAAATCACCAGCACAACATCACCAGCATAACGAGATCACCAACACCTGCCACACTCCACACTTTACCCACTGCACACTCCACACTCCGCACTCTACACTTTACACTCCACACTCCGCACTCCTCACTCCACACTCTACACTTTAAACTCCACACTTTGCACTTTGCACTCTGCACTCCTCACTCCACACTTTACACTCCACACTCCACACTCTACACTTTACACTCTACACTCCACACTTTACACTTTACACTCCACGCTCTCCACTTTACACTCCTCACTCCACACTTTACACTCCACACTTCACACTCCACACTCTACACTTTACACTCCACTCTCCACACTGCACACTCCACACTTCACACTTTACACTCCACCCTCCTCACTCCACACGCCACACTCCACAACACTCCACACTCCACCACACTCTACACTCTTCACACTCCACACTCCTCACTCCACACTTTACACTCCACACTCCACACACTCCACACATTACACTCCACACTCGACACTTTACACTCTACACTCCACACTTTCCACTCCACACTCCCCACTCCACACTCTACACTTTACACTCCACACTTTACACTTTACACTCCTCACTCCACACTCAACACTTTACACTCCACACTTTACACTCCACACTCGACACTTTCCACTCCACACTCCACACTCCACACTCTACACTTTACACTCCACACTCCCCACTCCACACACACCACACTCCTCACTCCACACTCAACAGTCCACACTTTACCCACTGCACGCTCCACACTTTACACTCCAAACTCCTCACTCTACACTCCACACTCGGCACTTTCCACTCCACACTCTACACTCCACACTCCACACTTTACACTCCACACTCCACACTTTACATTCCACACTCCCCACTCCAGACTCAACACTTTACACTCCACACTTTGCACTCTACACTTTACATTCCACACTCCACACTCTAGACTTTAAACTCTACACTTTACACTCTAAGATCCACACTCCACACTCTACAGTTTACACACTCCACACTCCCCACTCCACACTTTACACTCCACAATCCTTACTTTACACAAAGTTTGCACACAGCACTTCCCAGTACTACTTTGTACTACAAAGCTTGCACAAGGCACTTCCCAGTACTACTGTGTACTACAAAGCTTGCACAAAGTACTTCCAAGTACTACTTTGTACTACAAAGCTTGCACAAAGTCGTTCCCAGTACTACTTTGTACTACAAAGCTTGCACAAAGTCGTTCCCAGTACTACTTTGTACTACACAGATTGCACAAAGCACTTCCCAGTACTACTTTGTACTACAAAGCTTGCGCAAAGTACTTCCAAGTACTACTTTGTACTACAAAGCTTGCACAAAGTACTTCCCAGTACTACTTTGTACTACAAAGCTTGCACAAAGTCGTTCCCAGTACTACTTTGTACTACACAGATTGCACAAAGCACTTCCCAGTACTACTTTGTACTACAAAGCTTGCGCAAAGTACTTCCAAGTACTACTTTGTACTACAAAGCTTGCACAAAGTACTTCCCAGTACTACTTTGTACTACAAAGCTTGCACAAAGTCGTTCCCAGTACTACTTTGTACTACACAGATTGCACAAAGCACTTCCCAGTACTACTTTGTACTACAAAGCTTGCGCAAAGTACTTCCAAGTACTACTTTGTACTACAAAGCTTGCACAAAGTACTTCCCAGTACTACTTTGTACTACAAAGCTTGCACAAAGTCGTTCCCAGTACTACTGTGTACTACAAAGCTTGCACAAAGCACTTCCCAGTACTACTGTGTACTACAAAGCTTGCAACAACTACTTCCCAGTACTACTTTGTACTACAAAGCTTGCACAAAGTCGTTCCCAGTACTACTTTGCACTACACAGCTTGCAGAAAGTCGTTCCCAGTACTACTTTGTACTACAAAGCTTGCACAAAGCACTTCCCAGTACTACTGTGTACTACAAAGCTTGCAGAAACTACTTCCCAGTACTACTTTGTACTACAAAACTTGCAAAAAGTCGTTCCCAGTACTACTTTGTACTACAAAGCTTGCACAAAGTACTTCCCAGTACTACTTTGTACTACAAAGCTTGCACAAAGTACTTCCCAGTACTACTTTGCACTACAAAACTTGCACAAAGTACTTCCCAGTACTACTTTGTACTACAATGCTTGCACAAAGCACTTCCCAGTACTACTTTGTACAACACAGCTTGCACAAAGTCGTTCCCAGTACTACTTTGTACTACAAAGCTTGCACAAAGCACGTTCCCAGTACTACTTTGTACTACACAGATTGCACAAAGCACTTCCCAGTACTACTTTGTACTACAAAGCTTGCGCAAAGTACTTCCAAGTACTACTTTGTACTACAAAGCTTGCACAAAGTACTTCCCAGTACTACTTTGTACTACAAAGCTTGCACAAAGTCGTTCCCAGTACTACTTTGTACTACACAGATTGCACAAAGCACTTCCCAGTACTACTTTGTACTACAAAGCTTGCGCAAAGTCGTTTCCAGTACTACTTTGTATTACTTTGTACTACACAGCTTGCACAAAGCACTTCCCAGTACTACTTTGCACTACACAGCTTGCACAAAGTCGTTCCCAGCACTACTTTGTACTACAAAGCTTGCACAAAACACTTCCCAGTACTACTGTGTACTACAAAGCTTGCAGAAACTACTTCCCAGTACTACTCTGCACTAACAAAGCTTGCACAAAGCCGTTCCCAGTACTACTTTGTACTACAAAGCTTGCACAAAGTCGTTCCCAGTACTACTTTGCACTACACAGCTTGCAGAAAGTCGTTCCCAGTACTACTTTGTACTACAAAGCTTGCACAAAGCACTTCCCAGTACTACTGTGTACTACAAAGCTTGCAGAAACTACTTCCCAGTACTACTTTGTACTACAAAACTTGCACAAAGTCGTTCCCAGTACTACTTTGTACTACAAAGCTTGCACAAAGTACTTCCCAGTACTACTTTGTACTACAAAGCTTGCACAAAGTACTTCCCAGTACTACTTTGCACTACAAAACTTGCACAAAGTACTTCCCAGTACTACTTTGTACTACAATGCTTGCACAAAGCACTTCCCAGTACTACTTTGTACAACACAGCTTGCACAAAGTCGTTCCCAGTACTACTTTGTACTACAAAGCTTGCACAAAGCACGTTCCAGTACTACTTTGTACTACAATGCTTGCACAAAGTCGTTCCCAGTACTACTTTGTACTACAAAGCTTGCACAAAGCACTTCACAGTACTACTTTGTACTACAAAGCTTGCACAAAGTCGTTCCCAGTACTACTTTGTACTTCAAAGCTTGCACAAAGCACGTTCCAGTACTACTTTGTAGTACAAAGCTTGCACAAAGTCGTTCCCAGTACTACTTTGTACTACTTTGTACTACACAGCTTGCACAAAGCACTTGCCAATACTACTTTAACAGTATGGCTTAGGAAACGAACCGTGAACCGGGAACCGAACCGTTCAGGAACCGGCAGGCTAAGAACCGGCACGAACCGAACCGCCAATTATTCTTACGCAAACCGAATGGGCACGAATAGGGGTGTGCTGATCTCTCTATCTTGAGGGTTCAATACAGCAAGCTCGCTTTTAGGTTGGGCGCTCCTGAGGTAGCTTACTACATAGGCTACATAAGGCCCACATAGCCAATCAAGTTATATATTGATATATCCTACACAATCCCAGCTTGGGTACCAACAAGTGCCATTGCAGCCAAGTGTGCAGCAAATTGTAATATTTTCCCTCTCACAAACTCACAAATCACCAAACCCATGCAGTGCAATGCTGCAATGGGTGAAGGTCATTGATGTAATATACAATTGATTGTCAGATTGATTTCAGCTGACCGAAAGATAATTGAGTGAACATGCATTCATGCAATCTGCAAAGTCATGCAGATTTCCATCACGACAAAGCCATGGGCGGCAACGTGATGCCAACCATCATAGCACCTGCGCATGGGTGCATGGGTCTCGACAGTTGTGATATTGAGAAACTATAACCAAACAATTATATGACATCATGACATTGAACAATAGAAGAAAGGGTGAAAGTAAGAACTCATATATCTTGAAAGCATTGTCCTATTGACAAAGAGAACAAAGATAAATCCCAACAGAATCATAACCGATATGTTTTGGACCAAATGATCAATAATGATGATAACATTTGCAAGCCAGTGTATGTGATGGTGGATCATGATCTGGTCCTGGGTAAACCACACAGTGGTTGTACAAAACCAAAGCGCCGCTGATATCATCTGAATTTGTTCACACGCGTGCAGGGCAACGGTGCGGTGCGGTAAATACATAGCCGGATCGGGTAGGATCGTATAAATCTGGTATTCCCATAATCATTGTTGAACTTTCCAAGTTAGGTTCACACAAATACACATATAGTACAACATACAAGTAAAGTAATAGTACAAGCCTGGCTATGTCATCTTTGAACATCAAGTAAGTATGAATTGAAATATGGGATTACCAGAAGATCCAATCGGTGCTGATGCAGTGCATCTACCACTGACAACTGGATTAAGTGATTTGCGTTCACAGCTCAGCACACCTGTGAATGGTGTTGTCAGGCAAAGCATAGAAAAAAATCACTTTGCAGAGTGTAGTGTGGAACTCGAAGAACATGCCCATAGTCAATTGTTTGATATGAAAATTTACTTGGTTGGTTTTGTTCTCATATCATTGACTCACAACTTCACACCTTACAGACTGTTAGGAAAAGATCATCGAATCAACAATCAAAAACTTAGTTGATCCAGTGCTAGTTGAGTATGTCGAGGTTGAATCCACGAGTCCACACCTAGTCCACACCCACGCAACAGTGCTAGCGACTAGCTACTGTGACACTGTGGAGTCTATTATCCAACCTATTGGACCTTCATGCAGAGTCGTTGCACATTACACATTTCAAAAGAAAGCGATAAAACAAAACAATGTTTCTTCAGTCACTGCCATAGTCATACACATTATGACCAAACCAAGCCTAATATGATAATTCTATATGATCAGAAATAATGTTGTGATGAGCTTTGAAAACAAAATGTCGAATTTGTTTCACAAAGAGCTGTGTCAACGACCGATTCCGATTCCCGTTTGGTGTCAAATTCCATTATGTATGATGTACCTAAGGTACCTACGTAACGTAGCTGACAGTCTGCCAATCACGATTGCCACCAAAGTAGGACCCACCAGGCACATTGCTTCCCATTGGCCCATTGTATACTACGAAACAAACAACATGACATGATGTAATGATGTAATGTAACAATACTCCGTGAACATCATGACTATCATCCTTGGCATTTCAATCTTAAAACAACAATGACAGTTGAACCATTGGATATCATTTCATAAAATGATAAAAGGACTATTCGTTTCTGGACCAATGCAATGTGGTCAAGTGTTGTTGTGGCACAACGCTTTGTGACTATGCAGTCGCAGCTGGTATGGATGGAATTGACACACAGTCGCACACTCTACATCATTCTACCTCAGCAAGTGTTTGGCATTTTTGTTTGGTTTCAGCTTACTGTCCTTCCTGGTGCCATTTCCTGATTTCCCAAGATCATCATCATCGAAAATGTTCAAGTTTCGAATCGTCGCTGATGCCCAAGTCGATGAATGTGGATCACTCGAAGGAGAAGATGAGTCACTAAACTTTGCACGTTTGGATGTTGGCTCTTCCACGGCCACAGACGACTCAACACCAATCACCACATCTCCGATCTTGAGATCGTTCGTAATTCCACGCTTCTTCTTGACCTCTTCGCCCGGCCTGAGCACACATGACATCGGTGTGTTTATGGAAGTCTTTTAGGTATTATTTATAATGTCCTTGTGAAACCCTTTGTGGCCCTTTATTAATTTATGCAACAAATGTAACTGCAAATGGCTGATGATAATGGAAGTAAAACTGGTCAAGATCATATCGTTTAAATACATATATATATATATACATATGATTATGTATCTTTTGTTACATTGTGAGTTGTGTGTGGTATTGTGATTTTGTGATTCCATGTGATTTGTTTACAGTATGTATGTATTAATTATATCTAAAGAATTGTTTGGTGAAACAGAAACACTACTGTGTGGTGACTATGAGTATGGCTAATGTAAATATATATACCCAAAAAAAACATAAACTTACAATGAGTCAATGGGATATATAATTATGTTGCAGTTGTCGGGATGGGTTTCGGATAAGAATAGATAAATTAATGGGCAGGTAATGATGTAAATTTCAGTGCAGCTATACCCAGTAGATTATGTATTGAACACATTGAACCATTGAATGAAACTTGACTGAGCATAACCCTTAAAACAAAAACTGTAAACCAATACCAAAGGTACATGTTCTGACGTTCCAACTGAATGTATGCCTGACCATTGATGCCCCTGATTGTAGCCACTGGATCAGCTTCAGTGTTGAAGACCAATGATGCGACCTCATACTTCAAGGGCAAACTTTGTTCAGCACCTGTTTCACAATAGGTGCCACATGGAATGGTCACACTGATCTTGCGAATCTCAGAACGTTTGATAACCATCAAGGGTGGCCTGGAAGCATCGCATGTTGAGCATGGCGGCACTGTCCATGCAGGACACACCAAATCATTTTCAACATTGTTGTATCCATTGCCCGAGATGTAGAATGGAATTGGTTCATCCTGATGAATACAGCCTCAGGTTGAGCGATGTTGCAACTTCCAACAAATAAGAAAAGATAAACATCTCATCGCCCCGTCCCAGCATCACAATTACTTGAAACGATGAATTATGGAGCTGGTGATGCAACATTGTTTCTGTGTTCAAAGACTTGTTAACTTGTTATAAATGATTGAGTTGAATTGGTGTTAAATCATGTGTTTGGAATCTTAGCTATACTGTTACAAAACCATAATTGCTGTTTGGGTACATATGGATTCACTTGTCTCGCCATCGATGACATCAAATGCAATGTGTGTCATAGTCTTCGGCGGCCTGCTGAAGATTGGTGTCGTGGTACCTTGGTATTGATCGCTCACCAATACACACATACATAAACATATGGTTGTAAGTTACAACATTGCCTTAGTGACGATTTGATACAAAATAAACTAGTTTCCATCAAACATTTCCCATGGTAACAAAATAAAATTACAAAACATAAACCATCTTCATCAAACAACAGCCATATATTTTCATAAGCACAGCTATGATACATACATCCCCCCAATAGGGCATCGCAAACTTCTCCAGAATCTTCTTTGCTAGGTCTTTTGTCGGTTCACAATCATCTTTCGAAGTGAAGATCTGGGATAACTTCATCTCTGCCGTCGTTCCGCGGGCATCGCCAAGTTCCACCAACGCATTGCGTGCAAAGACTTCGGGAATTTCAAGAAGTGTTTCTGAAATCACGATCAGCTTGTTCGATTTCTGAGCCGAAGAGATGTTGAAGACAATGTTGGGCATGTCACCGTCCAAAGCTCTCCTGACAACGATATATCTGTCATAGTTAGTAATAGTTGATATATTGAAAATGTTGTCGATGTTCAACTTGACACATATGATCAAAACAAAATATGTGATAGTTGATTTTTGTTATTCTTTGTTTGACTTTCTCTTAGAAAGTTGTCTAGTTGTGAAATTTGTTTGCAAATATAATCATATAGATTATGTTGGAGACCTGGTCGACCCTAGGGCACTGTGCTGGAGACCTGTTCATGCCTAGGGAAAGGTAATCGGTAATAGTTAGTCGGTTGAACCTAGGGCACTGTGCCTCGTAGGGTATGTCGCTGGAGACCTAGTTGGCCCTAGGGCACTGTGCTGGAGACCTGTTCATGCCTAGGGAAAGGTAATCGGTAATAGTTAGTCGGTTGAACCTAGGGCACTGTGCTGGAGACTACCTCGTAAGGTATGTCGCTGGAGACCTAGTTGGCCCTAGGGCACTGTGCTGGAGACCTGTTCATGCCTAGGGAAAGGTAATGGAGATTCAGTTGAACGGCTGAACCTAGGGCGCTGTGCTGGAGACCTCCTTAAAGGGGATGTCGCTGGAGCCATGATTGGTGCTAGGGCACTGTGCTGGAGACCTATCCGAACCATAACCATAATAATAATCATATCTTTGTTTGTATATATATATATGTGTGTTTTTGTTGTTTTGTTTTTTCACACAGCTAATGTAAATATAGTGTGGTTTAATTGAAACAATTGATTTTGTGTTTTTTTCACTCCTGAAATGTTTGACCAAATCGGTTTGGATCGCCAGTCGAATCAGAAAGAGCTTGTCAATGCTATCAAAGTGAAGAGCAGGTTGATGAGTCTTGTGAAGCTTCTCTAACTCCTTCGTGAGTTCACAAGCATTCTTCTCAATGTCCTTGCCTTCCTCCTTCTCCTTCTCTTTGTCCTTGTCAGATTTGTTCTCGTCATCGTGCTTGTCTGGGTTGTCAGGCTTTTGTGATGGATCAGCCGTGTTGTCAATCATCTGGTTCTCATCAGAATCTTTCTCATCATTGTTGGGTTGATTGATGTGACCGAACATGAAGATCTCACACAATGATACTGTACGGGATGATGAAGTGAAAGCAGAATCACCTCCCTCATCTTTTGCGTGGCGTTGTTGAGTGGCCGATGTTGATTCAGAACTCACAACCACATCACCTGGATGAAAAGTGCCTGTCTTCAGAATGTCACTCATGATAGCATTCCATGTTGAAATCACGATGTGCTGATCGGGAGTACCCAGCATTGTATCAACCTCAAGTATCTTCTTGCAGTTCTTTGCAATCAATGACTTGACTCGAGTCGCAGTGAATTCGTCTTTGTCTTTTCCTTCACATAGACCCTGAGACAGCTTTCGGTCACCAATCGCACGAACAAGAACTCTCGACAAGTAGTTGCTGCGCATGGACTTGATCAGTTCAATATGTTTGACCGAAATCTCACTGGCCAAGTTCTCAGGAAGCTCAGGCAAAGCAGCCTTCTTCTCCATGTATTTGCCCAAGTGTAATCCAAACTGCATCACACCATGGGGTAGGTCATTAGTCACGAGCGTGGCAACTTCGTACACAAGATCCAAGATGTCAATGTAGGAACTGTGGACAATGCAAGTCGCAATGTTGGTCCTCCCAAGGTCCCAAGATATCAAACGACATCAGATGATAAATACAGTGTAATCATTATTAGGCTTGTGTCAAATGTCATTTACTGAAAGCATACACCATTGTCACTACTGTCAACTCAGAGTAGTTGCAACTTGCAACGGAAACATAATAACTAGTAGCAAAACCCACACAGTATTTATGTTGACTTGTGTTGCACATTTGTCACTTTGATATTAATGTATGTAATGTATGTGAAAAGAAAACATATGACAGATATAACATGTTTACACTATGATATTTGCTGACATATGATCACTATCGATTGGTTCTGGTAAATTAGGTTTGTGTTTTTTGAACCCATGTCCTTCCCTCTCCACAACTGCATTTGGAATCCCAGACTGCACACATGCGTCCGTAGCAGCAATGTTTGGTGACCGTATCATCCATCAACGATTCTCCAAGTGGATTGGTCCCCGCATTCATGTTCTTCTTCTCATCATCATACCACCTTGAAAATGCTGCAGCAAGTTCATCCAGTGCTGAATCATGTGTGAGTTGGTGTTCCTGAGCATCCAATCTGTCGTGTAGAACTTGTACCATGCGATCATCATCTCCACCAACTTCGGCTGGTATGGATGCAGTCACCTGAGTTTGACTGGCGAGAGGGTGCAAGTGTAGGTGAACAAAGTGATGTGAGCACATGTGGAAATAAATAAGCATACACTGTCGCTATCCCCGGCTATCCCCCTATTGCTATATATAATACAGTAGATAGTCAAATAGTCAATGTTATCATTTGCACAATCGAATGACAAATTAAACAAACATATTCGCGAGACTGTGTAGTAGTGTTGGTCTGGTGTTGTGCTTTACTGACTATTGACTTTGACTATTGACTATATTGCTGAACTATCTGGTTGCCTGATGATGAAGCTGAGCTGTTGCACTGGGTGTGCTGTATTATGTGGTTATAACTATAGATTGTATTACATATTACTTGATGTCATAATCAAAGTGGTTCTTTACATAAACCATTGTGAATTTGTGTGGGCTTGTGGGCAATGACAATGACCCTATACAATACATGATTATCTTGTTTGGAGTCCGTATGTCATATATCATATATCATGTGTCATGATCATGAGAATGATACATAATATATAAGCCCAAGAATCCCGTTTGATCAACTGTTTGGCGTAAACCTGAATGTGTGGTCTGCAAGTAGACCAGCGTCTGTGGATCTTCTTGTCGATGGTGAGTTGTCCCTTGAGAGCAAACAGAAGTCCCAACCGCAAGCATTTGCGAAAGACCAAGACTTCATGATCATGATAAACAAGTGCTTCACCATGCGCCGACGGTGGGCCAAGTAATGCTTCAGGTTCAACAGGCTGACTTCCGAGAGGAACTCCAAACTGCTTGCGAGCATTGATCAGCGCACTACGGATAGCACTCACCAGGCAATCCAGAAAGTACTTGGTTCGTAGGACTGCTACACCGTCAACTTGACAGGAAACATAGTCCGCAGTCTTCTCAGGTTCATCCATGATATCTTCACCATCTTTGCCACGGGCTTTCTCTTTGGGTGCAGCTTTTGCTTTTCCACGTCCACCACCACGACCCTTTCCCTTGCTCTCTTGTTTTGCCTTTGCTTTCACCTTCGCCTTCGCCTTCGCCTTGGGTTTGGGTGCAAGAATCTTGCCATCCATCTGCTGCATCAAGACCATTGCATCCTGGATGTTGTTCTGCTTGCGAAAGAGCCATAGACCTGCAGCATCTGCACCATCACCATTGCTATCACCACTGCTGATCATAGGTACCTTGCACACAAAGTCTTGTGTTGCAGTGATACACCATACATGTGCACATGTAATATGTAATGATAATAATAATGTATATATATATATTGAAATATTTATATATGTGTAGTTGGTGTGATATTGTTTTGATTAGTGACATAATGTTCAATTGTATAATAGACATGTTATGTTATGTAATGAGTCAAAGAATCAATGAATCAATAAGTAGTTTGTGTAAGTATATCAGTATGTCAGTATGCCGTCATGTGTTGATGAACTGTTGTTTGCGTTGTATTCATGTACCTGTGTATGTATGTATGCATGTATGCGTGAATGCATGTATGTATGTATGTATGTCTGTCTGTATGTATGTATGTATGTAGGTAGGTAGGTATGTATGTATGTGTGTATGTATGTATGTATGTATGTATGTGTGTGTATGTGTGTATGTGTGTATGTGAGTGTATGTGAGTGTATGTGTAGATGTATATATATATATGCATATGTATATTATGTATGTGTATATTCTGTGCATAGACCATATGCATGATATGTATGTATGTATTATATATGCTCTATGTCAGTATGTTTGTGTGTTGTTGACATATCAAGCTACACTCCGTGCAGCCAACTCCAGAATCAGGACCTTCATCTCAACCCACGCCAAACTATTGCTGAA